TTGGTACCAAGGCCATTCGCGATGAAAACTTGGAGCCCCTGAATCCCGGAGGCTCCGGAGGTGGTGGGGTGAGAAGTGATGCAAATGGCTCAGATACCATTGCCATCTACCGGCTTTTGTGCCAAGACGGTGTGACTGCTGTCCATGAAAGTGACTTTCAAGCTGTGGTGCAAAGGTTGGTACCGCAAAATCAGGAACAGTTGAAGAAATTCTTTTGGCTGCTGCCGAAATGCCCGGATGGCAAAGTGGATGTCCCTGAAGCCTTGGCACAGCTGGAACGGGGATTTGATCAGACCCTGCGGGCTGGACAGGCACTGCCTGGTGGCGCCAAAGTCTCCGCGCCCAAGTTGATGCCCACCTTGAGCCCTCAGGGAGGTCCTCAGGGAGGTCTAGGCCCACCGAACTTTGTGGCAGGTCCAGGTGCTGGCAAGCCTCGCCGCCCAGGTCCAAGTCCTGCTAACCCAGCGCCAGCGCAGGCTGGACATAATGCACGTGGTGAGGCAGCGCTCCTGCGCCTATCTCAGCACTTGCTTGGACGCCGATCTCCTGGCCCTGGTGTTGACATCCTGAGACTGTTTGCACGCAATCCAGACGTGGCAACTCTAGAAGAGGCGATGGATGCACTCAAAGATGTTTGGATTTCAATGAGCACTTGCAGCATTCTGCAGCCCCACCCGTAAGCCAACTTAACGAGAGTCAATGGGGGCAGAGAGAGAGAGAGAGCGAAATAGCGATGGCCTCCCACCTGCTAGCTACTAGCGATGGCCTCCAACCTAATGGAGAGAGAGAGAGGAGAGAGAGATGGCTTGTGAATCGAGCCCTTGGCTTTGAAGACAAGCGTTCATTAGTCCACTCCCTGCAGGTCATGGAGGCTGTGAGTGTTGTCCCCCTGGGCATCTCACGGGCAGAGGTGCAGTCCGTTTTCGCTCAGATTCGAGGCTGTGGCACTGGCACACTGCCTTTGTCACAGTTGGCTACGGCAGCAGAAGCGGCTTGCAGTGCCGGAGTGCCGTTTGAAGCAGCAGGACTTGAGCAGATTGACTCCAAGAGGCTGGCTCCTGCCTTGCAGCGCTTGGGCAACAGAGCATCACAACAAGAGTTTCGTGTGGCTGTGATGCAAGCTGAGCCATACATGACTCACGCACAGATGGAATGGCTGTCAGAGCTGACTGACAAGGATGGGGAAGGCCGGCTTTTGCCGCAAACCCTTTTGCCACGACTGGGAGTTCCTGGAGCAAGTGCCAGAGCGGAGCCATTGTCCTGGAACAACGTGCCCCCGAGACCTCCAAAGCCTTTCCGGTCCGTGGCACATAGTTTGCCTCAAGTCTTGGTTTTGGCGACCCTGATGTGGCGAGTGCGACAAAGACTCTTCCTGGGCACTCAACTGACCTTAGGCTCTCTTTTGGGTCTCTTTGATATTGCAGATGGTTCCAACCGGCAGCAGGCCGAATCTGCCATGATCAATCGTGAGTTGCTGGGGAGTTTGCTGGGGCACTTGCGACTATCAATCTCTGTGGCAGAAGCTGATGAGCTACTTGCAGCCATTGCAGCCAGTGGCGGGAGACGCTCCGGAGATTCCGGTTGTGTCCCAGTGGCTTTACTTTACGATATGGTTGACCGAGCCGGTCAGCCTGAGATGGAGACCATGGTTCTGGAGCTTCGTGAAGCAGCCAGACAACGGCTTTGGAGCAAAGCTTCTTGCTTCACATCGGTGGCGGGTTCTTCAGACCTTCTGCCGGAGGTGGACTTTCGTCGTGCTTTGAAAGCAGCAATGGCTGAATTTTGGGCCATTCCAGGATCACTTCCGGAGGATGATGAAGACCGCTTGGTCTTGCTGGCAGAGAAGGATGCCGAAGGACGAGTGCTTTGGAGAGCCTTCGTTCAGGCCTTTTGTGGTGGTTTGGAGCTAGACCAGATGAGCGAAATCACCGAGGAGCCTCTAGCCAGTCCAACGATCAAGGGAAAAGGGCGGACGCCTGCAGGAGCAAATGTTCCAGTCGCGGGTGTCTCCCAGCAAAGTTGGCGCACAACCAAGGCCGCTCAAAAAACCGAAGGACGGTCAGTTGTCACTAGCAAAGGTCAAGTGGACCCGCCCTTGTCACCACAGAATCCCAAGCGCGGATACTGTTGCTTGCGGCGGCGTAGCTAGTTCGAATTTGCAGGTCTCACTCTCTGCGGGCGAACCAGTCTGTAGTGCTGCTCGAAAAAGAGGCTACAGCAGAGCGAATTGCGATGCCAGCTGCCAGACTGCAATGCAGTTAGACCCTTTGAAGCCAAAGGAGCGAAACGAGCACGGCTCGATCAAACCAGATTGCACATTGCAGTTTCCTTCAGTGACTTCGGCACATATCTCCAGGAGATGGAGAAAGACCTCTCTTCACAGCTTGAGATGGCCCGTAATCTGGCTGAGCACAAGAAAAACGAGGGACTGGATTTGTGCCATCACTTGTTTTTAAGACCAATCTTATTGGTAATATTTTAAAATATTTTTAATATGAATGTTAAACATGTTTACATATATTTTACAAGACAGAGCTGTCACAAAAGTTCCCGGAAGTGTCACGAAACAGAACTGAGGGCCTTTCGGAACTCCATCCAAAAGCTAGACAAGCGGCCCTTTTGGTGGCCAGTCACGAAGGGGTAAGCCCAGCCAAGGCTGTTCTTCTCTTTCGTGGAACACCCAACCTGTGAGGCAAAGCTCGGGAACTGTGCCGTGAAGAGGTGGACTCCTTGGAGGACCAGCTGCGACGGAGCCAGGCGAGGAGCGAGACAGAGTGTGTCACACCGGAACCGCCGGGTTTTTCAGGGATCCTTGGACGAGGACAAGTTATTGTATGTTATTGTTGCTTCGGATTCTGTGTTGTTTTCCCTGACTCTTTGTGATACAGGAATTTCCAGATGCGGAGAGATGTTGATATGCTCAGGCTCAGGTCAAAGCAAGTCCTCACTTTGTGGATGGCATGGGCACCCAAATCCCCAACTCATGCCAGGCCCTAATGGACCTATACGGCAACATATTTATAGTTAACAAAAAGCTAGTGGCTTTCTGAGTTTGACATGACGTCTTTGGGGCGTCAATGATAATTGTCTTATTGGCTTGCGGTTCTTTTGTCGCGGGGAGTGTTCGCGAACAGGTCTTACAGAAACCATCTCAGCAAGTGTGCGGGATGTGCGGGGCACGAGAACACATATCCCCAAAAAATTGCAGTCGTGCAATAGGCCAGTTGGCCCAAAGACGATGGGTAGCGCAGTGGACCGTTTGAATGTTAGATAGTCAGATTCAAATTGTGGCACGCCGGCACACCAATGCAAATATTGAATATTTCCACAACCTTGGGGTTGTCGTGGAAATCAGGCGTCAAGACGTGCCTGTGTTGTTTCTTAACCACAGCCTTTTGAGAGTGGCAACTAAGCACCAAGAGACAGACCTACTTAGGTGTTGTACCATGTCGTATGTACTGCCACAGAGGGAAATGCAAAGAACAAGTACCGTAAAAGGGACGGTCCCATTTTCCAGGGAAAGACAAGCTGTTTGAGCATAGCTCATCAACGAAATCATGAGCATCATGAGCTGTTTGATAGTTTCAAGATCTTTATATACACATGTTAAAGTCTATTGTTGGATTGGAGCTGCAGTGAGTGGACTGGCATCAATCCATTTCAGGGCATCTCTACCTTTGCTGCGGAAAAAGTGTTTGGCACTAGTTACTAGTTGAGAGCGTTTGAGATTGGATCTCTTACGGCCATTTTCACCAGAGGCATAGAGTAAGGATTGCAAGGCGGTTATTTCCACTGGAAACGTGACCGCTCAAATGGGCCAGGATGACATGAGGTCTCTTCAAAAACGGATGGCTGCCTTGAAAGAGGAACATGCAGCCGTCACCAAGGCAGCGGCCAATCTGGCATCAATCTACTTGAGTTTGCTTCGTTCTTTGTGAGTCGCTTCCAAGTGTTCTACACGGACTCGTTTTGCAGGGTTTTGGCGTAGAGTCTTAGAGTAAATGGTTCACGTGATCCAGTGGTAGGAAAGAGATGACCTTTTACAGCGACTTGAAGATGAGCAGGCAGAAATGCTTCCCAGCAACACCTTCAGACATCAATACTTCAGACAGCATGAATTGTTTGATGCAAAGAACGCAACTTGAATCATGCCTCACAAAGAACAAAAAAAGACACCCAGCCAAGGATTGCCCGCGTTGCTGCTGTGGAGGAACGGCTTTCCAAACGTGAGGGCAAGCACACACGGTGAAAGCTCCAAACCACAGCGCGTAGACAATCAAGATCTGAAAAGTCAAGTGCAGCAGAGAGGCTGTGAAAACTACCCCTTTTCTCCTTATCTTCAGTCCATATTGAACCAAGTGAGTTATTTTCTTTTTCACGCCTGCGCCACGAGATTCAACTGTATTGATGATCAAGTTTTCAAAATCAACTTGGATGATGCTTCAACACATGAACATTCTTGGGTGAAACTTGTTAAGAGGTGTGATTGGGTCCTATCATGTCCTTGAATAGAGGGAAGGCACGGCTATTAGTAGGAATAAGAGGATAAGCTTAAGCAGGGAACGAGGATACACACATCGAATGATGAACATTCAACTCCATTTAAAGCGTCTAATGGGCTGAACACCCCATGGCATGTTCAACCATACATTTCCCAGCTTGGCACGTACCTAAAAACGCACCAATGGTGCATGGGAGCGGCCGAACTGGATCAGTATCACCGTAGTTCGTTTCCAAGGACAACTTTTTTCCTAAGCCTGGAAAAAGATGGGACACAGCTTCGCTGCATTGGCCGAATGCTAATGTGTGATTACCCGAGATCTTATGAGATCTTGATGTCTCATTCATAAGGCTTAAGGTGAAGGCAGGGAATGGCCTTCCAGCACAAAGCAGCAGTGAACTGCCAGAAGCCATTCATCATAATTAGGCATAGAGGAGCTTTCTTGTGAACAACCCATGTACGATGATACTGTGCAGCAAGTGGTAGTTTAGGTGTGCAGCATAAACATCACGACCTGTAGCAAGCAGAATGCCACTGTCATGAACTGCACAACCCTGCGGTTTGTTGGTCGCCGTGCTGGGCAAATCGCAAGTCGGTCGCTCGGCCGGGCGTGGGCATCAAGTTTGGATTCCAAGTCAGTTGCGGCGTTCACCGAACTTGAGCATCGCAACTGGCAAAAGGCTGTTTCTGCCTATGATAAAGGTTTTGGAGCCTTGACAAGGCAGTGCATACCAGAACTGCTTAAGGCTGTGCAATGTGGCACAGGGAGCCAACTTTTGGACGTTGCAACAGGGCCTGGTTTTGTGGCCGAAGCTGCAGCCAAAGCTGGAGCATCTGTCGTGGCAGTGGATTTTTCTCGAAAGATGTTGGACTTGGCCACGCAGCGCCTTGCAGGCCATGATGTGAAGTTGCTGGAAGCGGATGCAGCTTCTTTACCTTTTGAGCAGGAGTCGTTCGATTCGGTTGCCTGCAGTTTTGGCGTGCTGCATCTTCCCGTGCCAGAGGACTTTTTCGCAGAATCTCTTCGCATCTTGAAGCCTGGTGGCCGCTTGGGTTTCACTGTTTGGGCAGCGACCCCTGCAACTGAAGCCATGGCGCTGGTGCACGAGGCAGTTCAATTGCATGGCAATCCTAATGTCCCCTTGCCCGATGCACCTCCATTCTTTCGCTTCGCGGATGTCGACGACACAACAAGCACACTTCAGTCAGTAGGGTTTGCAGCCGTGGAATGCAAACTGATACCAATGGTTTGGGAGTTCCAAGATGCCGCGGATGCGTTCATCGCTTTTCGCGATGGTACTGGCCGCACGGCTGCACTCCTCGCAGGCCAAACGAGCGAGCAGCTAAAAGCTATTGAGGAACACATTACCCGAGGCACCGAAGCCAAACGGACCGGCCCTGAAGGGATATGCCGCTTTCAAATGCCATGTGTTCTCACTATGGCCAAAAAGGCACTAGTTTAACTTTGCAACTCAGTTCTGCATCCAAAAGAATGAGGCAGAATCTACTCAGGGGGTGAACCAGACCAAGCAGTGAACATGTTGCACCCTCCCTCACTCCAACCAACACGGAAGTGAACGACCAACCCCCCGTTGTAGAGGAATACTTGAGGTTTTCCAGGTTGTTAACCATTGAAACTTGATTCCACTGCACCCGTCAGTCAGTGTTCGATGTTTCATGATGTTTCATGATGTTTCCGCTGCCATTTTCCTCTCATGAGCTTCTACCAGCTCCCAGCATGTTCTGAAAAAACTTGTCAACATTCAATCAAAAGTGTAGGAGCCGCGAACAGTTTTTCATTGAAGGATGCTCACACTTGTGGAGCACATGAAGGACAATTGATTTTTCAATTACATCATGTGCACGCCAGCTGTTTTTTGTTGGTCTTCGACATCCATGGGGACTTTATCATTTACAGTAGTTGCTTGTCTTCTATGTGGGTTATAATTGTTAATTAACTGTTGGCCACATTGGCTGGCTGACAAGGCTGACAAGTCAGTCGGGGATCATGTTGCATGCTCGCCACTGCTGCAAAACTTGGAGAGGCAGGGATTCGGGCCAAAAGAGATCATGTGTTTGGTCAAGACTTCGATCCATATCAGCGGACCCCACGGGAACCAGTGCGGGATCATCCTAATTACTAAGACATACTAATACTAAGACTATACTTTTTGGGCCGTTGTAGTCCATCATGTGGTTTCATCCACTGGTGGCAGGATGGGCCAGACCAACATGTCTCGCTTCCGGACTGGTCCGGGCTCAACTACGGGCGTATAGCGACAGCAAGGAGGATGGCCGAAGGGCTGAGTCGTCGTGAGGCCCCTTTGAAAATTGGAATGCTAGGATGGAGAAACAGCAGGGTGTTTGGTGGCCTGGATTTAGGAGATATGTCTCGGATATCCCAACATTGCCTATGTACTATAGACTTGCTTTCCTGCCGGCTTTGGAGTAGTGGAAGTCTGCGGTTTTGGAGCGGTCAAGGAGTGGCGGACCATCCCGAACGCTTTGACTGCCTTGCGACTTTGCGCGGTGCCGGGCATTGTGACAGCATGGTAACATGGATTCATCCTACTCGCCAGATGTTGGACAACTTAGTTTTGCAAAGGCGTTTCTTTTTTTTTCAGGGGGTTAGGCCGCTAGAGGTGAGGTAGGTTAGCTAGAGGTAGCTAGTAGTAGCTAGGTAGCTAGCACCTGCAAGTAAGCTACCACCTATGGACGCAGGATAGCTCACGCTTCTTCAAGGAAGCTCCCCGCCGCCCTAAAGGCTGTGGGAGAAGCTTCCTTGAAGAAGCGCCCGCACTAATGATTTGGTTTCTAGATGCTTAGGGAAACTTAACCCACCAACTGTTTGCTGAGGTATTTCCCAGCTCCTGTTTTTGCAGCTGGACTATTTGGAGCAGCTGCGGTCACGGAGCGGTTGTTGACTTGAAAGACTTGAGGTGTCAACTGAATTCAAAGCCACCGATCCTTTGCAGGAAGGTCAATTGTCCTCGCAAATGTAAGACCAAGACAATCAGGACTCAAGACGATCAATCCAAAAGCAAAACAAGAAAGACAGTCTGAAAGACACAATGATTAACCCGGCAAGAGACCCCAAACAGTGTGTCTAAAGGTCTAAGGTCTAGAGTCTAGAGGTGTAGAAGAAGGTCTAGAGATCTAGACGCATTGGGCTCCAGAGAGAGGTGATGGTGGTGATTCAGGTGGTGCTGGTGGTGCTGGTGCTGGTGCTGGTGCTGGTTGGTGGTGGTGGTGAGGGAAGGTGTTGGTGATGGTGGTGAGGGAAGGTGTTGGTGATGGTGGTGTGAAGAAGTTGGTGATGGTGTTTTTTGGATGTTTTTGGTGATGGTGAGGTGGAGAGAGATGTCTGAGCACACACATGAGAGTACATTTGCTGCGTCTCCCACGAAGTTTGCACTTCAAGGGCTTGAAGGACTCCATTTGCCACAAAATATTGCGCCTACCACGGAATCTGCACCTCAAGGTCCACAAAGTGCTGCCCCTGCCTGGAAATCTGCACTTCAAGGTCCACAAAATATTGCACCTGCCATGAAATCTGCACATCGAGGTTCACACCGCGCAGCCCCGCCATGCCCCGCCAAGGCGATTCGCAGCAAGGGCACTTCCAAAAGACAACATCAAGATGCCAAACGCAGCTTTCGCTCAAGACTTCCTCCGATTCCTGAACACGAGCCAGTTGTCCAAAAGTCACGACTCTCTGCACCTGCCACGAAATCGGAGCACGCCGAAGACCACCACCATCTCCAAGGCACTGCACCTGCCACAGAATCTGCACATGGACATGAAGCCGCCCCGATCTCCTGCACCTGGCACGAGAAGTCGGCAAACCACAAGGTCTTCCTTGTGCCTGTCACAGATCACCAAGAGCGCAGTCTCGAAGAGCACCCGCGCCAGCCCACCAGATTCTGCGAGCCTGCGCAGCCGGAATGCATTTAGAAGATCTTGACATGAATTGAGTGTACAGCCAGACCCGGCCGCGAGCACCTCGATCAGACACCCGTCCTTAACCATCACTATAGGAACCGTAGTGTTACCACGCTGCTTGGGGAAAAACGGCGCACAACAGAAAAGCAATCTACTGTACATTGCTGTAAAGATTGTAAAGGTGATAGTACATGTTTGTGGTTTACTGTTATACTTCTTGAATTGTGGCCGTGTGTGGGCGTGTTTAGACCGGGAACCGGAACGATAACAGAACAATAATCTAGAACAGCACCGAGATGATTTGGCAAACCACCCCCCCAGTTAAAGGCCTGAAGACTTGTCCAAGGGCTCTTTTGCAGTGGCATCCTGGGAACAATGTGCAAACAGAGTAAAACGACACGGGGCTCGAGAAGAGGCCATGTAAGTCATTTTGAACGTGGTTCATGTTGTTGCATGTTGTTTCTGTGTTGGGTGTTTTTTGGTCACAGCATCCTCAAAAAAAGGGACGGAATGAAAATTGCATATAGAGATATGTTTTTGGAATGACTTTGAAGGTCTTCAGGGACTGTGCATAGCTGGAGGGGACTTCAGCTGTCCCACCATGTCCCACCCAAAGGACTAACGGACGCAGAAGTTATATAATTGAACACATCAAACTGAGACAAAGCCTAAACTGACAATCGGACGCAGTTTCTTTCACGAAGTCTTCCAAGTCACTGAGCACGAAACGGTTCCCTGGAAAGGACAAAAGGAATGTGAATGTCCATGCAACATTTGTCCATCGCGCAAGACGCATCATTCATTCCAATTGACTACAACCCTCCCTTGGTTGCACGACACATCTCACAAATTACTTGGAGCAGCCACACGCACAGAAGCACTTGCACCGAAGTTGTGCCAAAGGCATGAAAGCACATAATGCTGTAAAATGTTGTATGAAAATGTATGAAAAACAAAAAGCATGCGAACTAGGAATGTTTGGTTGATCCTGGGACGAACGCTTGCTCCTTTTCACCACAAAGCACGCACAAAGAGTATATAATAGTAACTTTTTTGACTGTATATGTTTTGCTTTGTGTTCTCGTTCATTATATACTGTAATGTGTTTGATGATTTTCCGTAAGAATGTTGTTTCAATACGTGCATAGAAAAGCCTGGTTTCTCAGCTCGAACTGGCAGAAATTGGGGAGAACGACGATGCATGCTGTTTGTGAGGACTGGTTAGACGGCTACCTGGCAAGGAGATGGAAGCAGCAGAGTGCCCTGGGAGCTCTACTCGATCCACTTGCAGCTACATGGCACGCCTATGCAATCAATGTCAAATCTTGACAATGCCGCAAAGCATGTTTGTCCTGAAACCAATTACAGAATCAACTACAAGGGCCGCTTAAAGTTTTCCAAATGTTTGGGCAACACATTTTCAGAGCAATGACAAGTGAAACTCAGGATAAGCTGCTAGTCTCCACCACGCTGATCTTGCTGGTGGAACAAGCTGCGAGCCCACAGGACCACCTTGCCTTTCGAAGTTCAATTTCACGTTTTTTTGAAACCCTTTTGTTCATAGGTGACGGTGCCAGCCGCATTGATCCTGGGCAGAGAGCTGGGTGTGTCTTCCCTGCGAGAGTGGGCACAGCGCTACCGCCCAGAGGTCATCCGCAAGCTCAATTCATAGTTGTTGTTGCCCATACTCAGAAGCTTATAGCAGCGATCTTATTATCGGAGTGGTTTAGTCCTTTACAAGTGGGAGATGGTCTTGTGGAACTGGAGATGTTTGGTGATGGCTGGAAGATTGATGATAAGATCTGATAAGTTACGCATCATTGGGAGAGTTCTTCAGATCATTGGCAGACATGACTCATTTGGGCAGGCTGTGGGCAATGTTTCTGTTGCTTGGCACGGCGGCTTGGAAGCATGGAAGCAAGAATATGTCGAATATGTCATGTGTTTTTATGTGGCTTGGCAATGTGGAAGTTGGCGGGAACTTTCTTAATGCACACCTCTCAAGAGTCCTCAAGATTGTTCAAAGTGTCAAGTGCATTTTGAGATTTGCAGGGTCTGGCTAAGAACCCACTTGCAGACAGATTTCCAGCAAATCATGGTTTTGCCATTGCTGGATTGAGTTGCTGCCTGTATTCATTGGCTATTCGGCATTTGTAGCTACTTCTCCAGAATTGGTTGGTTGATGCGATGGCAGGCAAGGCCAAAGCCGCCTTGCAGCTCGTTTCGCTGCAGTGTTTCTTACTGGCGCATGCCATCCGTTCAGGCAGTTTGGGTGCAGTATTTGCAGAATAGCATGTGCGTTAAACATATTTGGTCAGGTTCTTCCGACAGAGATGCCCAGTCAAGTGCGGACACGCCGGAGGCACTTGGCGCGTGCTCAGTTTTGGCCAACATAGTTTCCCTCGAATTTCTCTCGGAAATGCACGTCCGATGGAAGCATGCCCCTGAGAAGTCGCAAAAAGATCATTTTTTCGGCCGGTTCCGATGTCATATTTTTGAAGAGTGTACTTCATAGAGTTGGTTGGCTTTCATTGGCGGAACATGTTGTCGGGCTCAGGATCTCGGCAGTCAACTTCATACAGGCAGCAGCTGTGCGCATTCTCTCGTTGCACATAGCGCTATGGAGATTTGGTGAAACCTGACCAGGCAGTTTGGCGCTGCTTTGGCTGGCTGCGGGCCTCACAGTGATGTCAGGGCTGCAATATGCCTGGGCACTGAGGTTTCCACCTTAGACTTAGACTGTCATACTTCAGCTGGAAAAAGATGCATGGAATCATAGAGGACTACATCGTGACATGTGGCTGTAAAACGGGTTGAAGGGTACTTAATTACTGCACTTTGATATTGAGCATTTGTGTATTTATGCATACATATATATATATTATTACAGTATATAATATGCAACTCGGCCCTCAGCAAAAGCACTGTGTGATTGTGTTTTGTTGATTGTAGGGTTCCACGGCATTCACCGAAAAGAACATCACTGTCACTAACCTTATGATGCCGATGCCAGGTTGTGAGAGAATGACGACACGCAGGACAAAAAAGAGTGTTTTGCAATGCCCTGTGGCTATGGCTGACATCGATGGCTCAAATGGGGTTCACAAAAACAGGTGGCTGAAAGCCAACCAATTCACAAACACGCCGTCAGAAGGTGGCTGAGAAGGTTTGGAGGTTTGGATTCACACCACTTTTGGGGGATATGTGTAAAGTTCGGGTATGCCATTTAGCATAAGTTCGGCAGCTTTCGGCTATGCCACTATGCAATTTCGATATTGTCACGCGCAGCTTTCAGGCCCAATGTTGACCCAGATGTTTGAATTCTTCCTTGGGCACATATTTATTGTGCTACTTTTTGCCAGTGTGCCTGGCACATGTTTGCCTGGCACGTGTTTGCCTGATGGCATTCTGGAGCAGAATCGTTTGCACGTGGATGATGTGTCCGGCCCAACAGCCATTCGCTTGTTGGTGTACAGCTGGCCCTCGGCCCAAGCCGTAACATCCATCGCAGACATTTTGATCAGAGAAAGGCTGGGAGTTCATAGCGTGATGAACGAGACAGTTGACACAGTCTTGCAAGCAGCGCTGAAATTGTCGGGTTGTGAAGAGATCACTTGTGTTGAAAGCACTGATGGTGCTCATGCTGCCCTTGAGACATGGTGGAATTCAGCGGACGAACTGATGGATTTCCAACAACTCCATCCTGACAGGGCACCGGTGGATTTAGGATCTATAGGCTACGAGGGCGAGGACGACGTGTATGTGTCCAAGGGCATTGTTTCAAAAGCATATGATGAGACCGGGAACTCCTTGGACTTTTACAGGGCCTACAACGTGTCTCATCACACTGCACATCGGTATTTCGCCAAGCTGACCGAATTGTCAGTCGCTGATTATGTGAGCTGTAATGAATTGAAATGGGCCAATCCAGCCTTCATCAATTCATATGTCGAGTACACGGGTGATTTGGAGGGGGTGATTGAAGTTGCACCTGGACAGTACCATGCGAAATGTCCCAATGGGAAGTTCTGGATTGCGCCATCCTGTCGCCAGAATGTCACGGAGTGCATTCCTGTTGTCACAAGCGGATACGGCTGGCTTTTGGACATTATCATGTTGTGGCGACATGGTGGCACAAGAGCGAAAAGTTCAGTAGTGCTACGGGGCGACCTCAAAAACAGTCGCAATTAATTGTATTAGGGCGAAGCGGGCTGGAGGTTTCGAGTGAGCTATAGGCGAAGGGTTGGTGGCATGCATGGTTCGCGGATGATTTGTCGATGCCTTGCACGCACGTGTGTTCGCAAAGGAAACTCGTACCGTGCATTTGAGCAACTCACCTTCCAAAATTGCCACGTGTTCTCACTTGTGCATTAATTACGCATGCAATGCAATACCATGTAATGATATTAATGTAGACTCTTGATGAATAAAGCCCTTGTATGAAGAGGTTTTTCCATTAGCTCTCTTGGCCCCAAGTCATTGAGCTCAGGGTCGCTCAGGGTACCCGGGGCCTGGCTGAAGACTTTCGTGAGTCTTGGTCAGGCGTCCAAAAATGCCTGGTGCCACCCCTTGTGTTCACTTGTCATCCTTGCTCCCTTAGTTTTGTGCCATGCCTTCAGTTCACGAGACCATCAAGTTGGCGGAGCGCTACTTGACTGAGCGTCGCAAGGTTGAGTTCACCTGCTTCATGGATGCTCACCAGAGTGGTTGCACCACAATCTATTGTTGGAGCACGGTGAGCATCTATGGAGTTGTTGATCGTGCTGCACATCAAGACCTCTTTGTCAAGCCCGTGCCCTTTGTACCTTGGAAAGGTTACGCAGCCCCTGTTGAAGGTGCATTGCTTCGTTTGATCATCTCATATTGAAACAGAAGAACCATCAACATCGCTCAGGGTGATTGCATCATCCGCATTGGCAAAAGATTCGAATGACTTTTCTGGAGCTATCCGCTATGACCCGGATGTCATGATCCTGAGGCGACCGAGTTTTGACCCTAGTCTGCCCTTCAATGCCGGGGCCTATATGGCGGTTGGAGCAGAGCGCTTTCGTGGCTGGGACCCTTCACCGATCATAAGAGTGTGCACTGTGTGCGCAGCTGTCTCTGACCGTTCGGTGTTGGTCAAGTGTTCGTGGCATACCAACCAAGTAACGCCGTCCTTGAGCAGTCTGATGACAATTTCGTCTTCTTGAGCCCCAAACTGTTTGTGTCGTTGTTTTGTTCTACTGATAGAATCATGTTGCCAATGCAATTCTCCCAAGCCTTTCAGTTTCTTGCCCAGCCGCATTAGTTTGATTTCTCTCACCAATGCTCCTGCGTCCGTCAATCAGCTCAATCAGGACTCCTGGGATGAGCGCATCCTCGCTGCCAATGCCATTGCGCATCGTAAAGGCAATTGGGTTTTCATCCAGAAGGGTCTAGACTTTGGCGCGAATTGATTTTCGCTTCTACTTCTTGCCTGATCCATTCCGACGTACCTCTCGGACAACAAGGGTTCCAGCAGAGGCTTCTTTGCGCACCATGCTCAAGATCATCCTTGACATCGCGGAAGTCAATGAAGATCAGATCATCTTCAGCGTCTCAGATGACGAGTACAAGCATGACTATGTTGTCGAGCAAATTGCTGGCAAGAAAACCCTTCTCTGCACGTGGCAAGGGCTGCGCTAAGTTGCAACTACCGAGTCTTGGCCTGAAACTGCTGAGCCAGGACCACCGACCATTGGTGTCCCCAACGCTGCTGTTCTCTCCAGAACTTCCTCAGCGACCTGACACCATTCACACGGTGAGCCCGTATCGTTTCAGCAGGTTTGCCACGCTGATGACTTCATCAATGCCATCGAATTCACTGAGAGCACATTGAGGATGGCTCCGCGACGGTTGGCTTGATCTGTGAGGATCCACCCATGATTCTTCACACGCAAAAGCCTTTGGCTTGCTTCAGTCTCGACCTGACCTTCTATATCCAGGGCAGTTCCAGCTCTATACCTGGACCTTCGAAACGGCACAAATAATTGCCTTTTCAGGAAAAAATGCCGTTACGGCGTCTTTTTCCAAAGGCGGCGTTTTTTGTTGTGACGAGGCGCGCGCCGGCAGAAAGCACCAGGTATGCCAGGGTAGTTTGTTCGTCCTGACAGCAAAATCTCATGATGGCGCGGGTGCTCTCTGAAGAAGTGTGAACTGCTGTGCACCAAAGCCATGAGCTTTTGGCCTCTACCACCGTTCGCGCCGCTGATGGGACACACTATGACACGCTCCATCATCGCCTCATTTACGCAGCGCCATTAGGACACACGGGCAGCCAGCGCGGGTGAGATTCATGCCACCTGGCTTTTCTCACTAGCAATTTTCTGGGCATCATACGTTCGTTTGGCATCCAAAGATGGAACCCAGCTCAAAGCAGACTTCAGTGATGACTTGCTCGGCGAGACCGCCTTTCCAGCCCAAGGAAAAAAATCCTTGTGATTCAGGCGCTGTCCCATTGGGCCATTAACATTGTGAGCCGACAGACTGATCCTGTCCACATCCCTCTTTCCGGCCTTTTTGGTGCTCTCGCTCAATGCGCTGCCATCACGCGTCGGCTTATTGCTCTTGCACTTTGACACCACCATTCCGCCTGTGGATAGACTTTGCTTCATCATTTCTTTGCACTATGCCAAGCACGCGCAGCCATTCCCAGCAGCATTTGCGGTTGTCACGCAGGCCCTACCCCCCTCTGATTGTGGACACCTCCCCCTATTTATCAAGCCCGGCGTTTGGCCTCCATCTTGCCTTCCATCTCTTTCATCCTGCAATCCTTGCCCTTTTCCCAGCCATCGTCATCCCAATTAGACCATCCACTATATGCGCCGACCACCCCACCACATTGCCCATTCCCCCATTCTCAAACGCAAGCTTCCAATTTGGGGCTCGCGGCTGAGGTGTGGGCCCTTCACAAACGCTAGGGCGCTTTTCCGTTTTTTTCGCTCATAGCTTCTGATTTGTACATGAGAATGGCCAGCAGGTCTCTATTCGAGCTTTGCTGGGCTTAGCGAAGGGTGGTGTTTAAGCAATAAACTGCCCACCTCTCAACTTGCAATTGTGATGGCAATGCCAGCCACCCGTATACGGAAAATCAACGCCCAATGTGAAATCCAATTGCGGCGCCTGCGCGCGCTCCGGGGCGGCGTGAAGTGTGCCGAAGCAGGCTGGGCGGGCAGTGCCTGAAGCTAGTAGGGTTCAAAAGCCTCCACGCAAACTTTGGCCTGCGAATGAAGCGACCTATCAAGCGCTTGCTCTTTCAAGCACGCGGCGCGCTCCGGAGCGCGCGCGAACTCAAGCAAAGGCGGGGCTTAGGTGGCGTGGGCTGGCAAGTGCAGTTACGCCTCACGCGGTTTAACCTGCAAATGATTGCTGGGTAAGCACATGGGCGTTGTTAGTTTGCGCGCGGTGCGGAGCACCGGTAGCTTGTATTGGGTGCAGGCTGGTCAGCCCCGGGCTACTCAGGAACTCCTCACTAGACTCGCTGTATTTGGCGCGCTCCGGGGCACGTGCGCAAACTACCAAGAAGCCAGCTGTCATTGAGCGCCCGCATTGCGTTTACCCAGCACTAGTCACTAGGTTTCGTTTGCGAGTTAAACCGGGGCAACTGTACTTTCCACCCCTTTTGCTTGACTTCCTGCGCGCTCCGGAGCGCGCTAACTCAAGTGCCATGCATGCGGGCAAGGCAAAGACACCAGGAGCTTCTAGGTGAATGATGACGCATAGAAATGTTTTAAGTTTTTCTTTTAAGATGCCCCCAAAGGAAGGTTAACCGTTCAAACGAATTAGGAAGAGAATTGAATTTGTCAAGCTTCCGTTACAGAATGCCGCTCGATTTGTAAGGCTGAGGCCCCCCCCACGCTGACCCGTAACAAGTTATTGTTCGCTGCGGCGACCTACATGATAATTCGATATAGTTCGGTACACGAGGGGGATGCAGGGGGGTCAGCGTCATAAATGCTGCCCGGGCTGCCCGATCTGCAACACTGCCGTGGGGAATGTTGTCAACACTGCCAGATTTGTAACACTGCCGGGTGGGCTTTAAAGAATTTTGCTGCCCAAGGCTTTTGAAATGCCAAGCGTTGGTTTTGATTAGTTCAATTTTCTCCGCTGTGCGCCGCTACTGTATGGGTTTGTCTCCTTGTGTTAGTTTCCTTGGCACTGGTGTTGGGAGCGTGCGAATTGCTGCATCAGTCAGCATTGTGGTTGTTGTTGCTGCTGTTGGTGTTGGTGTTGTTGTTGTGTGACTAATGCGGGCGCGCAAGGGAGTCCCCATGAGTCCCCGAAAAAAAGAAATGAACACGTCCAGAATCATTTTTTGAAGTTGCCGTGATACATGTCTGAGCGGTTGCTGGGGAGCGGGTGTCATGCATGGAGCTAAGAGGATCATTTAGTTTGCTGGCTTAGCTTGGTATTGGGGAGGGGGGGTGAACGGATATTGTTGGAGAGTGTAACCGTGATGAAAAGAGAGAAGCGCTGAAGGCTGCTGCGATCTTGGAGCCAGTGTTGGATAGAAAAAGGAAAGACCTAGCCTAGTGTGGCGAGGATCGCTGGAAAAAATATGAGACATAGTCTTGCTTAGCAGGCTTAGCTTGCAATGAGACTCTCTATGGATTTGGAAATTTCTTTGCGTTCTGGCTATTTTCGTTCTCCAAAATGTATAAAAGCACGTTTCGACGAAGAATTCCGCCAGAAGCTTGCGTGTTTGAAACAGCAACCAGCAAAATAGAGATCAGCAGGGCCTAATGGAGACGTACCAAGAGGACAAGGTGGAAAATAGCCAACACAACCAACCCTCAACACGACGTCAATGAAATTGGCAAGATTGGGGCTAAACGTCAAGATAAACCATTCAACAGAATCTTGCGTTTTAATATTTGCGCGTAGGGCTAAACTATTCATTGTTGGCTTAGAGGGTGAGGCGATTGATCCCGCGTCAAAACTACTTATCATACCATGCCTGATGTTGTTTCGTGAATGAGTTGTCGTTGGTTTTGCAGGGGCGTGCTTGGAGTGAGCTGTTGGGGGGCCGGAACTTGCTCTTGATGTTGTGTTGTGACTTGTCATTAAGCATGGTGAGATATAAAGATGCTGGGAACAGGAAAAGCACTCCTGGCGCTAGGGATAGCCGTGAACCCCGCAATTGGCATGGCTCTGATCTCTCATCAAACTTGGGCCAATATGCAAAGCTCTCTTTGTGCGCGTGCTTCAAGCTCTCATGGTTCACACAGAATCCCGTCAACCGTCATCCATCATCAGGCCAGCGCCTCTATTAGGGGGATGTGGTCTCGAATACCTCCAATCTCAAACCTTGTTGACCTTGAAGGGTGAACAAATATGTAATAGGATCTCTGGTATGTTGCTTCACATCATTCACTTTGTCACTGTCAAGCGTTTCAAAAGTTTTCACCAACTAAAGTTTACAAAAGTATAGCAGTCTCACAGCTCATCGCCAAAAAATATTTAAAATGATATAACTTCACAAGAACTATACCATGAAACATGAAAAGCTAGATTGTGCTCAGATTTTGTTATGTTTCTTTGATTGGAGATGCGCTTGATAGTGCCCTTGGCTCAACAAACAATTGCAAGCAGAACAGGTACTGTAATGATTGTTCCTGTCCATTTATTGTTTGCTTTGACACGTGTATACCTAATATCGTACCTATGGCCGGCAATCCTTTAAATGTCTCTTCCTAGCACCAAAGATAAAACATAATTCTAATAATATCTGACTGCTAGGGCTATGGTGCATTTAAAATTCAAGTTCCGGATAATTACACTTCAGGAAAACAGTTGGATTTACAGTATTATTGTCCTACTCTTGTATTCATGTTCATCAATGAACTGTTCTTTGAATGCATTTCAATGAGCTTTCACTTGAATTGAATTGTTATTTGAACGCATTTCCATGCATCGTCACTTCAGGAATTAATTTGAACAATTGTATAGATTGTTTACTCGGAATTGGAAAAGCTGAAGCACGCAAAAGAGTAAACAAAGAAGCAAATCAATCATCAGCAAAGAGAAAAGTACGCCATGGTGCGCGTACCTTCTGGATCGAAGATTGAAGATTCTGCCAGGACTTTGGCAGAATCTTCGATCTTCAATCCAGAAGGTACGCGTACCGTGACGTACTTTTCTCCATCCTCAATCTTTCTTCTTTCAAAAACCCATTGTATGTGTGTATATATATATAAATATGTATGGCACCCCCACATGGAGAGTCTTCCAAGCAACCATGTGGAAAAAGGTCACAACATATAACGTAAAAAATGATTCCATATATATATATATATGTGTGTGTGCATGCATGTCACTTAGCGCCTCACGAGTTTGACTGGGAGATTCGCGGGCTTTCGAGAGCGGGACCGGTCGCCACTAAAACCGCCATGACCTCGACTGGAGACGGTTTTGTTTCGAGGCCCAGAGCGAACTGAAAGCACTATGCATTTAGTTGTTTGTTTAAAACAGTTGCATTTTTGTTGACATATTTAGCTTTCATTTCGAACTCGATGCGCGAATTGAGAGTGAGAACGTGGCTGTTGCCGCAACTGTCCGTAACCCAGAAGTTTGATCGATAGTTCCCTTCGACATTTGAACATTTGAATTTACATGGCGCTCATTTGGAGTTTAGATGCTGAAGGACTGATGATTCAATGAATAAATCATGTTGAATCATAAAAACTCATTTGATTTACTCATAAATTGCTTGCGGGTTCTTGGATTCTTTTGGCTGCGGGTTTCTCGAGGTCGACGTCCTATGGGCTTCCAACGGCTTTGGGTTTGACTCGCACGTTCGATCTTTATGCCTCCCAGATCCTGACAACCAATGTGATGTTCTATTGGTGGCGTCCGGATGTCACCTTCCTCCAATTGAACCCCAAGCAGGTGATTTTTCCCAAGCACAATGCGGATGCTTGGGCCAAAGGGGATAAAAGAACGGCTTCGAAGGGAGGTCACGTTGGAAAGCTGGTGAACTTGAACCTGGATGGCATGGGTAGCGTTGCGTCCAGGGTAAGAAGGTTCCTTCAAAACTTGGAGATCTCTTTGCAGGACGTTGAGTCGCTGTTGCAGATCCGGGCTGATGGACACAGCTCTTTGGATGCTGCTTGTCGCTGGGTCAAGTCCAACCAGGCCAAATGGGCGAGCTGGATTCCGGTGAAAACCGCATGTAGCCCTGGGTATGGTTTGATTGACCGAAGCCTTCACTATGTGCCTTCCCGCACAGAAGCCGTTGATTGCGGCCTTTGTGTCCCTGGTCGGTTCTCCGAACTGCTGGTGGACCACGTGGGGAAAACGCGTCGCTGCACGGCTTGCACCACTGGTCACTACCAGAAGCTTTCAGGGGAGACGTCTTGTACCGAATGCGAAATGGGGAGATTTCTGGATACCAGCGGGCAATCTGAGTGTGCTTTGTGCCCCTTGGGCAGCTATGCCAACTCAACTGCCATGACATTCTGTGAAAGATGTGGTGATGGGCCTGAATGGACTACAAGCCGGTTGGTGACTGTTGTAAGTGATGAGGAGAGCTCGGAGAAGTGGATCGAAACTGAAGGAGCTGCTTCTGCTGATTTGTGCAGCTGCATCGCAGGGTGGTTCTTTGAGAAATCCAAGTGCATTGAGTGCAGCAGTGGCACTAGATGTGTCGGAGGTGAACTGCAGCTTCTACCAGGCTATTTTTCAAGTGTGAATGACCCTGGAAGCGTCTTCAAATGCTACGGCTCCACGGACAGGTGTCCTGGTGGTCTCCCAGGTACTTGCGCTCGAGGAAGGGATACAACAAGTGTGGCTTGCGGACGATGCTCACCTGGTTTGAGGTCGGGCGGCGAGGCTGAGTGCATTCCATGCAATGGAACTGACTACTTTGTTTTGGCCCTTCTCGGCTTGTTGTTGTTTGCCAGCAGCGGCATTTTGCACGTGGTCTCATTGAACGCGTCGCAAGGCAAGAAGCAAACGAGTCTCATCAACACAATTGTTTCCGTCAACCAATTTGTGACTTTGCCGCAGTACGTTTGCAAGTGTTCCTTCGCTCGCCGGTTCAAACCCATCATGAACTGGTGATGCGCGACCACTGGGGCCAACTTTATTTTGCTAAATTCATTAAACTATATTAAACTATATATATATATTTGCCATCGCGGTTGTAACATGTTGCGAGAGGTAGTAACATGTTGTAACTAGATCCGTTACAGTTGGGAACTAGATCTTTGTTTTTGTCCCTTTTCATTTCCCAATTGCCTTGCCATGCCATGATTGGATGCATGGGATACCACATTATTCTTTTATACAAATTACTGAAAAGCCAATGATGGCACCAGCTGATGGCCGCCAGGTCTCATTCATTATGTCTCATGTTCATGTTTGTCTCACACTCAAAGACCTGGTTGTTAAGTGCAAAAGATCTTGAGGAATTGCATATATGTTGACCCCCTGGGCCAACTGGGGGCACACCCCTATAGAAGAGGTATTATAAGCTAGTTATATATATAATATCAATATATACATATATACATATAAGGGCTACCGCCCCCTGCCGCCGACCCCATGCTGAGAAGAAAAGGTGACTGATTTCTGTCAACAATTTCTCGAAGGAACCGTATACCATCGTATACCCCTCCAGCCAACAGAAACAACATCTCAGCCGTTTCTCTCATTATGCTGCGTCGGCAGCGTTGCCTTCATTCTGAGTGATCAACGTCGCGCCAACTGCGGTCCGTGGGTGGCGTATTGTGGCTCTCAGCCAGCGGATGTACAGCAAGACCGCTCTTGAGGCCATCAGAGGCAGCCGACAAGAAAGAAAGCACAAGTAGGTGCAGATGTAGATGACGCGCCACAAGAAGACATGAGTAGAAATGATATGAAGAGACAACTGTAGGCTGCACACCGCAAGAAGATACTCTGTAGCTACCCGATCCCAGGGCCCGTGTACAGCTGAGTGTAGAGCATGTTGACCAGCCACCGGGCCCGACGGAGGCGGTCTTGCCAGGCCCAAACGCCAGCACCTGCTGTGACGGAAACGCCGCGGAAGCCTCGCGGCCGGACTCCCTAACGTCACCTTCGAAACCCATAAGAAAGGACTGGGAGACAGCCTGCCCAAAGTGGCCACGCTCCCTCCTGCAGACTGGCCTCCCCAGGCCCGACGACCAGCCAACGGGCCTGACGGAGGCGGTCTCGCCAGGCCCGAACACCAGCACCTGCTGTGACGGAAACGCTGCGGAAGCCTCGCGGCCGGACTCCCTAACACGCTCCCTCCCAGACTGGCCTCGCCCGGCCCGACGTGCACCCGGAACCAAGGACTGGGAGACAGCTTCCCAGAGCAGCCTCGGACAGCCCAGCACGGACCTGACGGAGGCGGTGTCGCCAGGACTCGGATATACCTTCTCTGACGCGCTCCCCCTGCTGTCTCAGCGGGGTCGGCGGATTATATACAGTAGTACAGCTCTATTAGATACTGGAACCTCTTAGGTAGGACGCAGGATAGCTCTCGCTATTCATGTGATTCATGTGATTCCTAGATTTTTAGGGAAGCTCAACAAGTCTTTATCATTATGTCATCCACACCAGGTACTAATATAAAGGTTGAATATTGTTGAGTCGGGTGCTTCAGGGGCCAAGTTGGGTACTGGAGAATACTACCACAGATAAGGTGACTTGCTTGCAGCTGCTGGCTGTGATGGGGCAGATGGGCATTGCCTGGGGTGAGCCTAAGTTGCAAGCCAGAACGCCAAGACAGATAAAACAGTCAGTCAATTTCAGTCCTTCTACTTTACTTCAACTTCAAAGATTCTGTGAGCATTCTTTACGAAGCTATGACGCCATGTGTTTAGCTGTTTCTTTCTTGCTGAAATTATGTAATTTCTTATGGTTCCCTCGGAATGTCACCCAGGAACCTTTCCATACGTTGCTGCAATCAATAGACTTTCTGTCTCCCGATTATTTGTGGGAGCAATTGGACACGCTCAACTGCTTCACTCGAGTCTCTCTCGTCATTGCCTTTTTGTTTCAGAATCTCGGGGTGCCTGGGCTTCTTTGTTTGGCTCCTATCCTTATTCATTTGATTCATTTTCGGTGTCGAAGAGCAGTGAAACTGCACTTACTTTTGGGGACACTCGGACTACTTTGCGTGCTTTTCGTGATGATTCTGTGCAACTCGATTCTGGATCCTTTTCAGTGTGAAGAGCATCCAAACGGATTGTTCACTCTGCGGAGCAATCGCGATACATTGTGCAACTTCGCAGGTGTGCACCTGCAACTATGTGTCATTAGCTTGACCTTCTCCCTGTTTCCAATATGTTTTTTCTCGATTTGTTCCTGGATCCTATTGATTGAGTTGCCAAAGCGCCTCCAAGTGGCAGATGTGCAGTTCTTGCATTCTTGTTCCTTCCTAATATTGCGATTTCGTCCTGGGTCCGAAGTGTTTGCTCTGGTCTTCCTGATGCGCAACATGCTGTTCGCAGTCACGCCAATATTGCCCGGAGATGCAGCTTCACTGCTGATGATGCACTTGCTCATGTTTTTCAGCTTTGGTCTGGTAGCTTACTGCAAGCCATGGCCCACAAGGTTGTCAAATTGGGTGGATCTCTTCATCCACATAACTTTGCTGCTGATTCTCGTTTTTGGATCTTTTTTTGTGGAGCTTCGGAATGGAAATGCAACCATGATGATAATATGCACAGCTGCTACCGTGCTTATGATGCTTGGCTTATTGGCTGTTGCCGCTGAAGGCCTTGTCCGACACCTCTTGAGCCCCATTTGCATCGGGCTCAAACCTTATCGCTTCTTCCTTTGTCACCACAAAGGGGTGGCAGGTAGTTTGGCACGGTGGCTCAAGCTGGAACTGAGCCGACGTGGAACTACGATGAAGGTTTTCATTGACAGTGACAACCTCACCGACCTCACTCGACTTTTCACTATTGTTGGTGAAGAGGTGCAAACACTGGTCATCATTGCATCGCCAGGGCTGCTGACCCGAAAATGGTGTGTTGGCGAGATGGTGGCAGCTAGATTGCGAAATGTGGATGCAGCATTGTTGACCTTGCCGAACTTTGTTCTGCCTGATTCGCATTTCCTCAAAGCCTTTGAGGGAACGATTCCTGAGGTAAAGGAACTTGCTAACTATGGATTTGGCATGACGGAGATCATGGATACTTTCAATTGGTTGAGCACCATCCGGGCAATTCCTTTAGAAACCATTACCCTGTCGGCGTTCAATTACGTCGTGGCTGAACTTTTGAACTGCAAGACATTGAGCCAAAGTGAATCTCTCAACCCGAAGATCCAGGGTTCCAACTGTTTGATTTTGGCAGACTTGGAAGACGCAGAGGCAGTTGCGACAGCGCATATTCTTCAAATACTCATTGGTTCAGACATGATGCATTTTCATGGTGCTTTGCCGAAGGTGTTGGATGTGGGAAGCTCCCTCAGGGAGACGTTGCCACCATCAACGCTGTTGGAAGTTTTTGCGCTAATGATTTGCACCAAAGATTGCTTAGTGTCATGTCAAATGGCATCTTGGCTTCTAGAGGCCTTGGACCTTTCAGGAGACGAGGCCGGCTCACTGGGCAGCTCGACCTTGAATACCTCACCCCAGGCCTCACCTCGGCAGCAGCTACAGATCTATGTCCTTCCACTGGTAGCAGAAGACTTCCAGGTTCCATCCAGAGGTAGTTTCGAGAAGATTGTCAAGAACCCTGCTTTGCAGACTATTGACAAGCAAAGGTACACCAACACTTTGCAGGCCATTTTCTTTCAGATTGCCTTGCCATTTGCACCGAAAGTGTCGTCGGAAGGCGATTTGACGTTGAAGGCCAAGCAGATTACTGATCGCTTGCGATCCGACGGGATGGGATCCTTACAGTCCAACTTCACATTAGCCAGAATGTCTTCCTGGAGCAACTCGAACAACAAGACCGCAAGACATATGTAACATAGCTCACTGATGTTACATGTTCATGCTTTTGTCATAACTATTCACATAAGTAGGGTGTGAGGCATCGAAAGAGAACTGCATCAAGCAAAAACACAATATATTCGACGGGATCCGGAAAACATGGATAACAACTGAACAACAAAACCCCAGTGAGCAGTGAAAGGAAAAAGAGACTAGGGAAAGGACAACAGCAGCAGGGCGACAAAAGGATCAGGCAGCCCCCCACAGAGCAGACCAAAACACAAAACCTACCGACAAAGAACAACAAAAGAGAAGGAAGGGACACGAAAGGATAGAAATGTTGGACACAGCAAAGGTGGGCCCTATCACCCACCAGAGGACAATGGAAGGATGTTTTCAACACATAGTCAAGGAGACTTTGACGAGGGTAATCAATATTTGGTGTGGATATGCCATGGGTGACCTAAAAAAAGAGTTTTCACGGCAGCCGCAGTAGGTTGGCAAAAGTAGATACAGTAAAAGTAGTGCAGATTTTGTGGCGCTGGAGGGGGTTGGGGGCGAGGGCGCAGCGCCTCCCCCCACAGCGGACCAAAAATCAAAGCCACCAAACTCACACATGGATTTATATGGATTTATCATACGCAGCCTCGTTTCCAATGTGCTTCATGCCCGAAAGCCTTTTGTTCAGTCCCAGACCACTTCCTTCATGCATTTTTTCAACATAGGAACAACACTTTGCCATGTCCCTGTCGACAAAACGGGAACCTCCTACTGTTAGCATGAGGCAACAAGGTTCAACCATCCAGCATATCTACAGTATGCATTTCTACAATTACAGGGAGGTTCCTTTTCAATCTTTCAATCACGTGCTGTTTGTGTTCATTCACCACCAACATTGCTAAAACAAACACTGTTACCTCCCCCCCACCCCCCACCCTGTGGGGTGAGCTGCCCCAAAAGTGGCAGGCATGCTACTGAGACGTGTGCCAAGTATGAACGAGCGAACGACGGTGAGCTCGTTATGTTTTACTGCTATGGCTACGGAGTGCTAGCAGCTGTATTGGGCCTTGAGCCAAATCAGAAAGCAAGATGTACAAAGTTTAAAGACGAACACACTACATTACAAAGTCCAATCAAGTACATTGCGTAGATACGGACTTAGGGAACCAGGAAGCTACAAACAACACACTCGCCTCAAGCGGTAGGGCGCGAAACCATACGGTGCGATATCTACCGTGGTCCGCACCCCATTGCCCCATCAATGAAGGGCATCAAGAACGTGACGCAAGGACCCAGGCAACAGGGAGAGCGCAGCACTGCTTTGGTCCCCTGGGCCTTTGGTCCCTGGTCGTTTGGTCCCCTAGTCCGTTGGGTCCTTTGGTCCCCAATTCTTTGGTCCCCTGGTCCTTTTCCTCGTTTGCTGGCCGCATGGTCCATTCGCTAGATTCGCGAAATCATATAGTATGTGCGAATTTGGCGCAATCTTTGCAAAACTTAAGGTTGAGGGTTGGTGACGAAAGCTAACATGGCCGTGAGAAAGGAGTGTGTTGTTGGAATATGGGTGAGAACACAAATGAAGAAGAATCAGAACATGTTGCATGAAGTAGTGCATGAAGCGGACAAGCTCGATACCAATCGAAAGACCCCAGGCCACCGCACAATTCAAGGAAAATTGACACTTCCCAGTGGGAAGTTAAAACTGCGGAGGGCCGGCGGAGGGGGGGGCCCTAGCAGTGGATAATTAATGGGCCTTTTGGGGCGCCCAGCCAAGAGTAACTCCAGCTAGCTGCTGGTAGTTTTCGTTACACAGAGCTAGTTTTCTTTCTATGGAAAAGGACCAGAGGACCAATGGACTAGGAGACTTACTCAGGATGTTTTTTGCTAGAACAGATCATATTGCTGGTTTGCCTACATTGAAGCATTCGCACTGCAATGTTGCCTTTGTTTTATGTATTTTATTTATACCTATTAAGACTTGTGTGTTCTGACTTGCTCGTTCTTGTTTCCATTTGCAAATACTTTTGTGCTGCATTTGGTATTGTTTGTCAAATGCTCCTGTTCTTGAGTAGCAGCAGTGACATCCGACTGTGCACTGCAGGTCTACTGTTCCGGTCTCAGTCACCAACTTCGATCGACGAACCTTGCAGTGAAACCACGGAAGAGACGGTGGAATGCAAGTTCTGAGCCAAGTGCTGCCCCATGCTGTGCCACTTTTCAATGAAATGGACACCTGTTGAAATGTCGTGTGTTTCACTTTGTCTCTCACCATCATGCATCCAAAATGTTCAGACTCGCAGGTGTTGGCCACTAGAAGGGCGACCAGTTTTCAGGGAAGCACACAAAGTCATCACATGAGGGAAAAAATCCCAAAATTGATATTACAAATCAGCCCTTTGGTGATGCAAACTACATCAGCGCATTCGTGTTTCACCAGCCGCTTGAAATGACAAATCATGCAGTGCTTCGGGTTTGCAAATGCACTCCATTTTGGAGATGTGGCGCAGTCGGACACAGAACGTACGGAAAAAACGGTTTACAAGGCGTTATGATGCAGGTGCCTTGCTCAGGTGCCCTGCTCGGATCATCATCAGCTGATAATCAGAGAGCGGCTCTAAAGCACTGGGTTTTCCAACTTGCGTTTTCTTTCAGAAGTCAGATTAGTTTTGATCTGAAATGAAAGGAATGAATGGTTACTGTATATAGCTGAGATAATCTATTTCCGAGCTTGCTTGCAGGGTCCAGACTTTCATGTGCCTTGGCCTTTTTTCTGCCATAGCCAAACATGTACCGCAAAAAGCATCAATAGAACTGAGCTGTCAGGACTCAGTGCATTCAAGACTCGGACTCACCGCTTGTTTCCTCGCTTCTCTTTTCTGCACCGTACTCTTGGCTCAGCATACTCTTGCAGTCAGCTGCGTGAAGAGGCAGAAGCGCACTGGCACTGGCACGAATTCATTTCTATAATGCATATAGTTCGGACTATACACCATCAGGACACATGAATCTAGAAGCGGGTGATAATTCATTGACCGCCCCACACACACTGGTCGCGCGAAAAGGAATCCCTAATTCGACCGCGGCTGATTCGAACAGATGTTATAAGATGGTGTAAGAACGGTATGAGCATAACAAATTATGCCAAGTAACGTCAGCAAAGTCAAGTCTAAGGATGCTTTCTCACGACAACAACTCTTTCGCAACAAAGCCCTGCAATTGATTTGGGAAGTCCGAGTATGCAGCTTCTACCAATGCAGCATTCGTGTGAATTTAATCCGTAGGAAATGTTTACAGTGGTTTAGCTTGCCCTACCGGCTTTGTCGCAGCATGGAGGCAACTGTTGGTGTGCAGTGTTTGTTGACTAAATCAACGATCGATGCAGATGACTGCAGAAGCAAAGCTTTCTTGGTCACCTGGGACCTTTTGCGCAGGTCCTTTTGGAAGCAGCTTCCGGGATTCCTCCCGACGCCGTCGTCTCCTTGCGCCTGGGTCCCACGCGCCGACAAGCACCTTTGCAGCCGGGACCCACAGAGAAACACCTAATAGCTTCTTGTTCCTAGTAGCGATGCCAGGAGCCCCTAGTAGCGTTCTTGTTCCTAGTAATGGACACGTTTTGTCTCACCATATCTCACCATGTTTGCCAACATCAGCAACCGTTTGTAACGAGTACCCTCAGGGTGGAAGGCTCTCATGTGCTCGGCTTGGCTCAAGGCATCAGTTGCCACTTGCCTATAGTATTTTGCAGCCAGGTCAAACATATAGACAGTCTATATATACATATATACTGGAGCGATATAGTTAGAGCTTGCTTTATATGTATCATTTATGCATGATGAAATGCATCCGGCTGTCAATTAATATGTCTAATTACTTCAATCAATCCTAAATTCACTGTACCGCACTCGTGTGCCACATGTTGTAGCTACAAACTAAAAAAGGGAGACGAAGTCGTGGACGCCATGAAGCCGTTTCAGTCCTTGCGACGTTTCCGCTGGTCTGATGTGCCCAAGCGTCGGCGACAAGTCACCTACATCACGGCAGGGGTGGCTTTCTCCACGTACACCATGGAAAACAAGTTTAAGGACCGCGCCTTGTGGAATGCGCACAATTCCTGCATTCGGTACATATACATACAAATATATATGTAAATATATATATATATAGACTGTCATTACGGAGCCTGGAAGGGTTTGAAACCTGATGATGTGGGGATATTTTTAGCACCTATCTCCTATCTCCGACCTGGTGTTCAAAGAACAGGAAGACTCAGAGGTTCTTGAATGGGCACCTGACCAGAGAGAGAGAGAGAGAGAGTGTGTGTGCCAGTGTGCATCCTGCGACACGCACAGAGAAAAATGACTGGCTCACTAGCTCAACTTAATAAGTAAACATTGCTGTACACATTCATGCGCTGATGTGCGATGTCGTGTGTGAGAGAGGAATGTTTGGAGATCGTGGGAAACAAGGCGGACATCCGAGAACCTCACACCATGTTTTGGTTGCGGGTCCTTTTTGGACGGATGCGATCACGGTGGGTGGGAGCCGCGGCGGATGTACGGATTCCGGTGGCCTTGCGGTCCTCCATCTACAGCTTTTTCGCGTGGAGATACAGTATGGCAGTGGATGAAATTCGATACCCGCTGGATTCTTTCACAACCTTCAATGAATTCTTCAGTCGAAAACTGGTCGACGGGGCGAGGCCCATCTCAAAGGTGCCGAAGGGCTTGGTTAGCCCCGTTGATGGCACTGTGACCACCCTAGGCAAGATCACGGAGGAGAGCGACCGAGTGGAACAAGTGAAAGGTGCCACGTACAACGTGCGGTCTTTTTTGGGTTTGGACCCAAGAGAGAGCATTCAGCCAAAGTCGGAGCTTCACTATGTCGTTCTGTATTTGGCCCCAGGGAACTATCATCGGTTTCATAGTCCTTGCGACTTGACATTCAAAAGAGGCCGGCATTTCTGTGGTGAGCTTTTGCCTGTGAGACCGTGGTTTCTTGAACGATTCAATGATGTCCTTGCGGTGAATGAGCGTGTGACACTCAACGGAGACTGGCAATTCGGCTTCATGAGTTTGGTTGCCGTTGGTGCTGCCAACTGCGGAAGTGTTTTCTTAGACTTTGATCACAAGCTGAAGACGAATCGGCTTCGGGACATAGCAGTTCACTGCGGCGGTGATGTCTCAGAGAAGCTCTACCCCGATGGTGTGAAGTTGAGTTCTGGAGACGTGGTGGGAGGCTTCCGCATGGGCTCCACAGTAGTGCTGGTCTTTGAGAGTCCCAAAGGATTTCAGTGGGATGTGACACCTGGCGAGAATATCAAGGTTGGCCAGCCACTAGGTCAGGTGACATGATGCTTGGCTTAAAATAAATACTGCAAAACGTGTTCATCGCACGGGTGAAAATTGTCAGACCTTAATTAGATTGGGAGCCTTCGGTAAATGCACATCATTAGTCATCAATCGTCATTATATAAATACTATATACTGTATATACATTGATGAAACGCCCTGGTCATTTGAGTGTCCGCGATTCTGTAATTATTGTAATTGTGTTTCGTGGATTGGTCAGTGATTCGTGTTGTCATTCCCATCGGACTTTGTTGAATGCAGCTTGTAATTTGCAAACGTGCATCTAGAGTCACACCCGACATTATCAACATTTTTTCAACATTGTATTATATTGTATTTGTTGTGGATTACAGTATTATTCTTGAATTGTGCGATCGGCGGGTGAGTGTGCGACCATTAAAGCCTTAGTACTTAGTACTGTAGACACTGCCCCTTTCTTGCCCTCTCTACTGCCGTAGTATGCCCGTGTGCTTATTGTGATCCATCCATGATATTTCAATTTGTTGCACAATATTCTGAAATATTGCAAGCAAGACCATCGATTTGCGAAACGCGAAACGCTAAAGGCCCGCGGCCGGTTTCTTCCCGCGCACGTTAATGTAGGAAAATTTAGGAGCACCCCCATTTGCAACCTGTTAGGTGTTCTTTTGGACACATGTCCACCGGGGCGCCGGCATCGCCAATCATGAAAGCTCCCCGATGGAAAGCAAAACAGTCCATACAGGGCCCTTTGTAAAAAGAAAAAGGGGTGGGGGTACAAAAAGAGGGTGCCGGGTGAATGTAGGCCTATGTGCAAGGCACCTCCTGTTGGCGTACGCATCCTGAGACGCTTGAAGACCACAAAAATGCAAATCTGAGTTCTAAGTTCTAAGTGTTGCCGATTTGTTGGATGCTCAGGATGATGTTTGGCCCGCATTTGGTGGAGAGTGGTGACGGTGGTAGCACATTGCCATGACCTTATGACGGTGGTCACTGCCCGATCATCGAAACCAATCGTTAGAAATGAGCGTTTGGAAGGCGCATAAAGAGCGCCTTTGCCTCATCTCTTGCAAAAGCTTGGCCCTGCGCCTTGTTTGCTTGTTTGTGCAGGCAGGTTGGAAAAGAGGGAGACCACATGGGGCAAATAAAGAAGGGAATGATCGATTGCTTGCTGGTGGTGAATTTGTTGGGTGCATGGCTGGAGAGGATGTCTAGTGACATAGTGAGATCGTCGCGATTGGGACAGCTGGCCCGGTTTTGAAAGGGAAAGGCTGCGTCGTCCCAGGTCAGCTTTGTCCCATCCATTGAGATTCACAACAACGCTGGACGATGCATGTTTCTTGACAGCGCGGTTGTTGGGTTGCCTGGGCTTTGGCATAACTCTCAAGAGACTCTGAGAGGTAGAGAGAGTGGGTAGCAACATTGCAACAAAGTGTCATGAAGCAACGCGTCAATATTGACTGTTGATTCATAAAGCCATCCACCGGAAATGGATTTTAATTACCTATGCCCCATCAAGAAATGTTGTTCATAGTTAGACAGTCATGCCTTTGTGGCAACATGCAAACCGACCAGGTGAGCCTTTGCGCGTGGATGTGATGCGGCCTTTGGCCTCAGCCCGCGTGGTGCTTCGAGCAGAAGAACTTCGATATTCAGTTCCTCTCGAAGGAAAACAGGTGACTTCAGCTGCAACAGAGGCAAACCAGTGAGAAGTCTTCCCGTATTCCCTACAAGCTATCCCGGCTAACGGCTAACTTGGACAGGAGGCTGCTTGTTTTGAACACATCCATGAACCTGCAGGGAGGATGTGCAGCTGATGTGCATGGTGGGAATGCCTTGAGACAGACCGAAGAGGAACAAACATGACACCTCCCAGGTGCTTGTTGCGGCGCAACGTCGTAAATGGGGATGATGTGTGGCTCAAGGGAAATCGACAGCTGTTCCACTTGTAAATGGTCGTTTAACATTGTCACATCGTGAAAAACTTGAATACCTTTGAGACGCTTGAATAACTTTGGCTTGACCAGTTGGCAAGCCAAGTTAAGCTTGAATTATGAATTCATCAATGTGAATGTTAATGTCACAGGGACAGTAGGCATGCCTGCTCAGCTCAAATGAAGAATGCATTTTGACAAACAGTTATACATGGTAAAGATTGACATGTTGCATTGTTACATTCTTTGGATTCGCATCGATTGAAGTGTTTTCTCAAAGGCAAGTAGTACCCCGGTTCAACGGATCAATGTTGAGCAAATGCACTTTCAGAGACTGCACATCCAAGGATATGGCTTTGCGTCTCAAGGTCAAGCCTGCCAAAGTAGCAGAGCGTGAAAAAGGAGGACCGAGAAATCACCCCAAACGGACCCAAACGAACCGAGTGCCGCAACGGGGGAGACAGAATATGCGGCTCCATGTATCTCCCCTGTGCATTGAAACTGCGGATTGTTCCAATGGTCCTGTTGCAATGGACTTCAGCCTGTCAATCCTTGGTTTGGCCGGGCTGCAACACATCAAAAAGCAGATTGTAGCTGCAGCTGTCCGTGAAGACCCATGGGGACTGCGGACCAGTTAGACGAAGCGCACGAGGAGAGCCAGCTGGCAAGCTGTCTGCCACGTTGAAAGATGTTACGGCGGGTGCCAAGGATGCTCAGCTCCAAGTTGGCGCGGTAGAAGTGAGTGAACTTCTTCAGAGGAGGTGTCATTTGCCCCCTTTAGATTCTGAGAGAGAGAGAGAGGTGATATATACATATATACAAATATATACACATATATATAATACATAGTCCGAGGCCTTTGATTCTGCCTTTTGCCACGTGCAATGCCCGTCCTACGGTTTACAAGGCTACCAACTTGCAGCGCTGTCTTCTGACATGCGTTGGGGCTTGTATCATGTACGGCCAATGCTATAACTGCCAAGCTTGCTTTCATTGGTCGTTTTTGTTGGCAGGTTTTTCACAACCCAGGATTTTGATTTCTCAGGATTACTTGGAGCATCACAAAATCCTGCAGTACATGCAGGCTTTGCTTCATGCAGTGATCCAAGCGAAGCCACTTGAGTCTTTGGCAAGAAGTAAAGGCAACTGGCATGTAGATGAAGCGGTCAGTTCATGATATTGAAGAAAAACACACGCTAGCAGCATGTAACTGTGGTATGCCGTATGCCGACTTCTACTTTCTGTCTTGGTGCCGTATCAAGTCCACCGAAAAGGTGCCAAGACACAAATGTATAAATATATAGATATATATAGTATAGGTATCAGGCGGTATCGGTATCGTAGGTATCGTGTTGATTGAATCACCTTGACAATGTGAAAAGCTGTGAATCACCGGACGTCCGAGCGCATGCGACGTCCACCGATCGGTCGAGCAGTCCAGTACCCCTAGGACCCCTTCTCCTTCATGGTGGCACAGCTCACATCGGCCCGGAGTCGCCCATCACGAAGCCAAAGAAGCAGGATTGGCTGGTGACCTGTGGGATTGGCTGTTTCTCATAAGCTCGTCATGTCGCAGCGAACCAGCAGGAGGGGAAGTTGCCCTGGCTCACTGGCAAAGGACCTGCACAAGATGGCAAAAGTGGGGAGAAGCAGAACGAGTCTGTGAAATATGTGAGGGCGCGAAACTAAGCTAAAAGATCCTAAAGATCATGGCACCTCAGTACTGTAGCAAAGATAGTGAAGAGCCGGACCCGCCTTGCATATCATGGAGTATGGAAGAGTATCTACCCATGGCTAGCTCTCTCTTGCTTCAACAGAAGCCCCGCGGCTTCGAATCACAGGATTCCAGCACACAGTTGGATCTCCAGCCAGAGACTTTGCAGCAAGAGTGCACAGCCGCTGAGGAATTGTATATACACGCAGTGTTTTCCGGGCCCTAGATTGTATCCTGTTGTGCTAACAAGGCAAGTATTTGGCACGGTCACGGTAGTAGGTTGGAGGTTGGAGGCCATCGCTAGTAGGTTTATGTCGGGCGCGCCAGCCATAGATACAAGGAGCCAAAATAATTGTATAAAGCAAAAGAAAAGCAAAACAATGTAGCTGTGCGTGTTTGTCGTTTTTTTTCACTGTGTTTTTCGCTTTATTTTCGCAGTTTTTCCTAGGAGCGTACAGCAAATATTGCTGACGGGTAAAAGTTCTCATAAGTGCAGAAGTGGTATCAGGAAAAAAGCAAAAAACAAAAGCAAAACAAATGCAAAAACAAAGCAACTTGCGCTGCTTTTGCATTTTCATTTGCTTTTGTTTTGCTTATTTTTGTTGTTCGCTGTTTCTTGCAAAAAAAATGATGGTTGGTCACGTATGGCTGCCATTGCCCAATATAATACTGTAGTAGCTTGGAGGCCATCACTAGTAGAGTTGGAGGCCATCGCTGGTAGAGTTGTTGCAGCACTTTCCGATGTAAAAATGGAAGGTCCGATGTTTGGGCTGGACGTGGACGTGGAATCGGGACACGAAATCTTCGCGCTGGGTACCATGGTGAAGTCATATGACATGCATATGACAGCAGAAATTCAGACATTTTTTCACAAGAACGTCACACTCCCAAGGAGATAGAGCTCGCCTCCGACCCCGGTCCTTTGCCACCATCATCTGCATGATCCCCAGGGGGCGTTTTTGAGCATGTTGCAGTACTGCAACTTCCTTGTGTTTGTGGTCATCTCATGTTTGCTAATTTATGATTTCTGCTTTGCGTGGCATGACCAGTCATGTTCTAACAGCCGCGCCGCTAAAGTTGATGCATTTCTCAGGTGCCCAGCATGACACCCTTCGAGGTCTTCTCCGACCCTGGCCAGACCCGGAAGGCCAAGCCAATTTGTTGCCACTTGTTCACCCTGGCAAATTGGCACATCCGAAGGCATCAGGTCCACCCTCAACAGCTGCATGCCCCGTGCAGGACTTGGCTTGAACTGTTGGCCGCAACTGAGATAGCCTAACAACTCCAGCTTAGGCTCCAACAGAGGATGCTGTCCCAGCATGCCATCCGGATCCGGAGGAGACTGAGGCCCAAGAATTCCCAAAGCGGTGAAGCTTGCCGGATCGATGGACAGGGTGTTCAGGCTACTCGTACCTTCAGGTTGGAATTCTAGGTTCTTGCAAGTTACAGTAGTAGTGCCCTTGCTAGCAGCGATGCCGGCAATGCCATTAAGCTTGTTACTAGTAGCGATGCCCTTGCTACTAATTCTAATTCTCCATGCTATGCCCTCCTTTTGCTATTCCAAGTCTTCGCAGCAAACTTTGCTTCTTCTCAAGTCGTCTTTTCTCAGGCAAGCCTTGCAGGCCAGAGGCAGGAACCAGAAGAACCAGCACCAGAAGGCACAGGTGTCCTGGCAACTCGGCATCTTCGTAATTGGTTCCGTCCTTTGTGCATGTTTGACGTGACACGTGAAGCCACGTGAGCAACCGCCAGTTCATTTTAGGAATTTGCCTAAAGCCTGCAACAGCGATAAGTCCCCCTCGCTATAGTCCCCTCTCAAAAACGAAAACCTTGTCTTTATTTGTTTTTGGCAGACGGCCACGTGCGCCAAGGGTGATGAGGAGCACCTTGGCTGCAAACTGCTTTCGCAGAGCAAAGCTGCAAAGCTGGTAGGCAATGCAAAGGGGGATGTCGAGAAAGTTGGGTAGAAACTCGGGTTGGCGGGAAAAGGCAGTGCGGGATAATACTTAATTGACTGTATATACAAAGTTCAGAGTTCTTCAAGGCCAGGTGAAGAAACCTGTCGGGTTGGCATGAGGTTAGAATGTTTGCGCGGGAGCTTGCGAAGACAACTGGAGGAGGCAGTTGATGAAGGAAAACTGGCCGAGCACCCAGTACATATTTGGCTTCGATGCAATTGACGGGAAACATTCTATGCTAAATCGAATTAAAATGATACAGTAATAGTAGTAGTTATATACAGTTATTGTTATGTTACCATTGTGTATATTGAATTGAACCTAGTTGGCTTCCGGAACCACTTTGGCCGTGTAGCCAAGGCCAGTGCTGTGGAAAGAGCTGTGGCCCTGATGTCTGGACAGGAAGATGACGAGGCACAGAATAAACTGTGTTAGATACAAGACAGCTTCCATCCTCAAACAGAAGGAGAGTTCCCCACTTTGACATTGGTGAGTTGGAGTCTAGAAGTTTTGTGCTCAAACCACTGGTGTTCTATGGTTTTCTCTCACATAATTTGATCGTATCTCCATGGCGTGGGTTGAGCTTACTGGGCACATCGCCCTTGTGAGGTCCGAACACGAAGGGAGTTGGTGCAGCTGCAGGAAGAGCAGAAGGAACTTCGACTTCGATCCGAGAGGACGGGAGGAGTCTGAAAGAGACATACGTTAACCGTTGGTGTTTCTTTCTGCTGGTCATGTCGTCAATCTTTTATATTGATCTTTTTTTTCTGGTCATGTCGTGTATCCTTCTTTTCCAATGTTTGCGGTGAGGATCAGGCCATGATACAGGTCATTGCGGGTCGAATACTGGTTGCTACCGGTTGCTGAGTCTGTGTGCAAAAGCCTTTCCTTCCTCGCAGCTGCGAGGTTGAAGCAGGACCTGCGAGACCTGCGACGAGTGAATTTGGACCTGCGACGTCAACTGATGGCGCTCAAGCCTTTGGAAGTCGATGGGTTGCCAGGAGCGGTCCTTGGTGCAGACAGCTGCGGCTAGCAAATGCTAGCAGCTAGCAGATAGAGGATGCTGAGGATGTAAAACCAACTGTGCTTTTTCCCAAATCTTTACAGGTGTACCTTGCCAAACCTCTTCCTTCAATGTGTTTCATGTGTTTGCTTGCAAGGCTCCAGATGACTCCATCTCGAGCATTTCCAGGTTTCAAACATCCGATGCACCGGTCTTTGGAGTTGGATGGCAGACCAGAATACCTGGTCCTCCCACAAGACTCATAGATGAATCAGATCCAAAAGAGAGGTGAGACTGCAACGAGTGTCCTGTGGTTCTGTGGAAAAGAGTTCCAGCTTCTTGAAAAAGCATGGATGCTGGCCGCCAGGTCTTTCATTTTCCATCCAAGATTCAATGGGATTGAGCTCAGACGTATCAGAGTATGAAAGTAATCGGACACGCTGTTAGCGTAGTTGCTTACAGGTCAACATGTCACGGATACTGTAGTTAACCCTGTCTCGACATATTTAGACTGCTGTTCTGACGCCTGGTGCAGCTGTATAGAGCTCGAAAGTAAACGGTGAACTGTCCCTGCAGCCAAGCTGCCGTTCGAACATGATGGCGGTTCAGGAGATGATTTGTTCGATTTGGCTTCGCGGCTTTTCTGCCATTTCAGTCGGGCGGAAAGATGCAGAAAATGTCAAGGATCCACGGGTGCCAGTGCTGGCCACTACATCTACAGCCCTCGCAGCTGGCACAGGCTCAGGCTGGGAAATGAATATAGATGATATGGACTATCGTGACTCATTATTGTATCGAAATCTGATCAATTCTGGACGCATGTGAAGCTGCGCAACTCTGACAAAGGTCGTTCTCGACCCGTTTCTGCCCTGCGTGGCGCGCAAGTACCAAGCACGGCCGCCTCCGCAAGTGCACAGCGGGCGGCTCCGCTGGCAATGCTTGGGTTGGGGGCATGTGCTGCACTAGCTCGGCGAAAACATCGCAAAGCAGGCCAATTGGACAAGTGTCGTGGTTCCTCGGATTGAGGTTGGGATAGAACTTAGTAACTCACCCTCTCACGTTTTTTGAGTTTCAAGATCTCATGACCAGCATGCATTCCAGAACATTCCTGGGCAGGTGTCACTTCGAGGAAAGCTACAATTACCGCGAGTATGGAGACTGAACCTGCCATTGAAGAGGAGGATTGAACCTGCCATCGAAATGCTGGTTTTGCAACTACGTCTCTACGTAGCAGTTCTGATCGTTTGCTTGGTTGATCATATTTGCCAGGACGCGACTCCAGTGAAAAAGACTTCTGTGCTGGTCCTTGGGGCCACCGGAACAGTGGGACGCCAGATTGTACGGCAGCTTCTGAAGCTCAGGATGGATTATCATGGAATGACGAATGGCACATGATGTCATGCCCGCACATCGAGCAAACACTGGTTTATAAACCCGAAGCCAAACAACTCATTTGAGAAAGTGGACTGACATGTGGGGGCAGATGCTTTCTTCCTTGAAGAACGAGGTTGCGTGTTGAGTTTTTCTTCGTGTTGAGCTGCCGATCAGCGAAACAAAGTGAGGCTTTCAACCAGGAAAGACCATCAACCAGGAACCCAATAACTGAGTGACCAGCAAAAACAGCAAACAAACCAATCAAATCAAGGAGATGAACCGCCAGCTTTTGTACAAAGTAACCGGTCACTGGGCTGCCAACAGCCCTGGGCGCTTTTCGCTCAGGAATTTACCGGCTATTCTGCAACTGAATTAGTCAAGCAGCCACGACACATACCCGAGACGGCCAGTTAAGTTTGATGGTTTTCCTCCAACCTGATGGCCTCCAACATGAATGTTCTTCGTGATTTGCCAAATTTGGGCAACCCATTTCCCCGCGCGTCATCTCAGGAATGCTGGTTATTCTGTGCGTTGCATTCTGCGAAACCGCGCGGATCGGCCATTCTCATTCCTGGTAGCGCCTTTGTATGCCTTGGATGAGAAGTAGAGTGCGACATTGTGCGTCATAGTCATATATATAGTTGGATATAGTTGGATTGTTCTTGGTTCTGGTGATCAGATCCAGGATGATCAAGGTGGTTTTGCGCACGAATTAGCTCCTTGGATCTCGTTCGGGCATTCAATCCTAGGACTGGGGTGCGACTGTGGTCGAAGGTTCCTTGAAGCGACCCGCAGCTTGGCAACGTTTCCATGACTCCAAGCACTTGCGCATTAAGTGGGCAAACCAAATCGAAAGATGATATCCAAAGAGAGGTGGCAGTGCAAATTCGCTGCTATTCCTTTTACATTCTCGGTCCACCAGATGTTTGTTCTACAACATTTGCTCGCCAGCAGCACCCTGCTTGTACTGAGTGCTGGTTTGATCATCGTAGCCGGACTGAGAGAAAATAGCCAATTCTCGTGCACCCCAGCTGTGCAAATACCGTACTTCATACCGTCCAAACCAAAGAAACGCCCGTTTCCCCTCAGTTGTGTCCTGACTTCGTGGAGTGATCAAGGAGAGCCTGCCAAGCGCATTGGTGGGCATTCATACCGTCATTGATTGTGCCACTGCGCGGCCTGAGGAGGGGGGGGCGGTTGACCGGTGTATTTGGGGATGTCTTTCCATGTCCTTTTGTCCTGTGTGTTCTTGCTGCTTGCGCACGAGCCATCAAAGCTCGTGGCATTAAATTGCATAAATGCTTACTTTGACATCTTTGACAACGCTTCGTACGTACACCCCAGGAAGACATCTACGACATTGATTGGGAGGGCAAGAAGCGTCTCATCCAGTGTTGCAAACAAATGAAGATCCAGCGCTACGTTTTTTGCAGCATCAAGGACTGTGACAAATACCAGAGTGCAGCTCATCCTGAAATATGTTCTACCATGCTATGCTGTTTTGTTGTACTCTCGTGGCACGTCACGCAGGTCAGGTATGGCCACTACATGTGTCAGGATTGCTCAATCAATGTTCAAATCAGAAGTCGGCATGTTGATGGTCCGAAGTCATTTTATGGGCATCAGGTGCCACTTATGCAGATCAAGTATTTGACGGAAAAGTTTCTGCAGGAGAGTAAGCTTCTTGGCCCCTAAGACTTGCCTCACAGGGCTGGCAAAAAGGGAATCCCGCCAGTGGAAAGTCACAATGTGAAAGTGGAACAGGCGAGGTTTGTGGAGGAAACGAGGTTTCCATGCTTCAATCATCAATCGGACTAGTGTGGGTGTGAGTCGAGGATTCGGTACACTATCCTCCGGGTCAGTGGTCTCATGCAGCCGCTCATTTCACAGTATGCCGTCAGTCCCTCGGCTGATGAGTAGATTCTTGGCGCATGACAGCAAAAGCATTATTCACTGCGTTGAGGATGTTTTAACCATCGAAAGGTTCTACTCAAGCAACATGTGTTTTCATATGTTTTCATTACCGTTCTAGAATGTTTGCATGACATGTGACTTTCCAGTAAGTTTCCAGTGCTGTATTTGTCACGAAGCGTATCAATAGCTTCTTGAACGATGCAGGTGTTTTGGACGATCAGAAGGTTTGGGGAGACGACGGCAGCATGCCGGGCATTGCATACATTGACTCCCAGGATGTCTCTCGTATGATTGCGTCTGCAATGATCAAGGAGCCCACAGACATGCCCAGACATTCGTGTCCGATGTTTTTTTGTGTTGATTCCTTCAGTCCCTTCGACTTTGACTGGAAAAGAAGGTAATTAACGGCTCCTTCCTTGTGTCTCGGGGCCCTTAGGATAATATATTTTACAAAAAGAATTATGTTATTATAGAAATCTGTGTTCCGCGGCTCTTCATCCTCAGGAGCGGACCGTGGGACAGACCTTGACCGTGACCGGGCCGAAGGTTTGGTCCACCAATGACGTCATCAAGCTTTGCGAGGAGAGTCGGGGAGTCCGCCACAGTCGATGGGAATGGCCTCCCTAATAATTTAGTGTCATGCCTCCATGCCTAGTCTATTTGTTTTCTGTTTCTTGTTCAGTAACCTGTTTTAGTTAAACACAATTGTTTGTTATTGACCCCCTATTTAACAATCTTTCGCGTCGTTGCGCACAATAAATGTCTCCTTGTGTGCAAGAGTCCCATCCTGTCTCCACAGATCATGTTTACAAGAGTGTATTTTTGCAATGCTTCAAACGTATATTTTTTTTCTTTTCACTACTGCACACATCTCATCCTTTATGAATGTGTTGTTTCCTTTTGTGAGATCCTCACTCTGTACAGTATGAGAGGATTATCTCAAACCATTGTAAATGCTCAATTGTTTGCAAGAGTCTCTTTTACTCAATCATTGCAATAGTCGCTGTTCACCATAGTCTTTGTGTCCTTTTCGCCTCAATTGAGTTGTATATTGTTTCTCCTTGCGGAATTGAAGCCTTCCTACCTTCAACGATGAAGGGCATCTCCAAAACTGCCAGAAACCTTTGTGGATCGTTCCTTATTCTGGTTATTGCCTATATAAATCATCAAAATCGTTACCAAGGAATTGATTCGACGTGTCCCTGTGAATGAATTTGATCCTGCATTGTTGACTTTGGGCACGTAGCAAGTTTCGGTGACCACAGTTTTTTGAATCGGTGGCAAGAGCTTCGCTTATGCGATAAAACAAGTTACCCAAGTCCAAGCAGCAAGAGCAATTTTAATAAGCAAACTCATTGAACTATGTTGATGCGTATGCAGCATGCAGTTGTATGGGTGCTATTCGGTTTAGCAATGCATTACTTACTGTATCTCATTTGTCGTTGTTGACCTCCAGTCCATTTCAGAACGCTGGTGCCCTACATTGTATATGATTTGAAGAAGTGGTTTGGATCACCAGGATGAAGCTCAAAGTTTGAGAAACGAATTGTTTGACTTTTTTTGGCCAGCATTGAAGATCTAGCATTGGAGCACGAACAAAAAGACTGACTAACTTTGCGAAAGCACACTTTGGCTATTTTTGGCAGGGCCTCCCTGCAACAGAAAACAGGCAAGACAACATTCTTTGGAGGAAGAATTTATATGCCAATTCTGAGCAAGACATTTTGGAGCAAGTAGACGCAGCGCGCTGCAACCGGCTCTATTCCCGAAATGCTCCAAAAATTACAATCCCAGGCCAAGATTCAAGCAAAAAAACATCGTAAATCTGAACTGAAAAACTTCAAAATGCATAAGTGTCTTGCAATTGAATCTTGATTCCAGCTGCAACACACGGTGCCATATGCCTTCGTCATCCTCCAACAACAAATTAAACAAAAGGAATAAGAAAAACAAAGAAGGCAGATCAAGAAGAAGCAAGATGCTCATATAGAATGTGTTTTCACACTAGAATGTGTTTTCACACATGTCACACATAAATACACATACGGTCACACACGCACTATCCTTAGATTCCATACTAATGCAGCATAATGCACCCCTGAACAACAAAAAATTCCGATCGAACATCAGTCGGGGAGTATGCCGGAATTGCCTGCCACGTGAACTTATCACAGCTGTGGGACATGGGTCCACGACAGCTATTGCTTTGGGTTTGACTGCTCCCTTCCCATTTTCCCTGCCTTCCTCACCTGGGCCCTGCTGGATTCGTCACCAACCCCTGTCAAGTAGATCCAGACGTAGCGAAGGCTACACTGTAAACATAGAATTGTAGACTCATGCGCTTGTAGACTGTAGACCTTTTCAACTAGCTATATGACTTAGAGAGGTTCTTCATTCCATTGACGGCGATACATAGGATAAGGACCATTGCAGCCTCAACCATGGCCAATTTTTCACTCGGGAGCTGCAAGGAGCTCTCTGGAAGGGATGCGGATGTGAATGTCGTGTCCAACTCGCAGATGCAGCTCGCGATGTCAGCTGCAGGCCGTGTTGACTTGACAGCTACTGAGTTCGGACCTGATTGCCTTGTCGACTTGACAGGTTTCTTTGATTGGTCGGTGGATGTGGCTGAGCGCTTGCGCTTCGTGGAGGTCACGCGATCGCCACTTGAAAGTCGTCGTTGAGCCAGCGATTGAGCCTGGACCAAGGTGAATCAGCAGGGATCGCCCGATTCCCCCATGCTGATGACAGAGGCGTGCTTGGATGCATGAGACTGAGAGACTGGCACTACACAATCAAATAGACACTCGTGAAACCTCGTCATGTGATGTCATGTGTATGTGGTGGCCCTTTGTGATGTCCAGAAAATTTCAGAAACACCCGAATGAGTGTGTTTACCAGCCCGGTCTGCACTTTCAGCAGCCAGCAACATCAAGCACTCGTCCTTTGTACCAAGTGTTGCCAAGAGTCTTCTTGGTTCACAGCTAAATAAAGCTAGGTTGGCATCATAAAATTCCATCAGCCACTGCCAGGAAACTTATCAAGCTCTCGGTCTGGAGCCGTCATCAACACGCAAGCTAGAGGAGTACATTGGCGAATACTACAGGCGGCTGCAGATGGCTTGCTGCCTTGCAGGGTGAGTTGAAGCCACTCGAGTTTTCTGTCAGGAGAGTCTTTAAAAAGCTCACGAAGGCTTGGCCCGTTGCAGCTTCGTTGCAACTCCACATTCGATGTTCCCATATTGACATGACTTGTTTGTGCGCAGGGCAAGTATGAGCCAGAGGCAGGCGAGCTCGAGAAAGAAAAGGCAGGGAAGGAATGGCTGAAAAGATGCTAAAGCTCAATCAGCCAAGGGGTGTGGTTGGGGGCTCGCCCCTGGAGGGCACGATCAGCTAACTCAGACAAATCGCCAGGCTGAGGCTGAAGCAAAGCTGAAGCAGGCTCTGTCCCAGGACAGGCTTTAATGAGCTTTCAATTTCTTTGCCACAAAGTGCTGAGCAACATGAGCAACTGCCAGGCATGCCACAAAGTGGATGAGAGGGAGAGGAATTTTGCCCAAATTGTGCTTATTAGACCTGTAGGACACAGCTGATGAATTGCCGGCTGGCCAGCCAGCAGAGGAAGAAGTGACCGTTTCTTACCAGCGTGATGTTGCAGAACGCTTGCAGAAGTTCTTCGAGGACCGATGTTTGCCTCAATTATTTGCCTATTACTTGAGACGCGTTTGATTTGTTGCCTAGATGACACTAGCTAGGACAATCAAGCCAGACAAATATGGTAGAAAGGCTGAGCACATTCAAGAGGGCGATGGAGAGAGAAGGGATACCGTAAGAAGTAATACAAACAGCGAAAGCATAGCGAGCACTGTGAATTAAACGTGAATATAGATACTTCTTGACTATCTGAAATAAAGTAACCGTGTTACTATGTCACTATGTTTGCTTGGATTCTTGTGCCCCTTGTTTGTTTGGTTTGCTATAAGGATAATGACCAAGGAAGATTGACAGAGACTCGTGTCACTTTTTTGGCTGCTAGGACAAAATTCTGACCGAGATGGAAGATGACAAGAATGCCCTTTGAGCTACAAATGTGAAATACATTCTAGAATGATGTGATTTGCAAGTGTGGAAGCCTTGAAACAAACCTCATATGAGGCATGGTTTGGCTGGGTGCCACTTGCTGAAGTGTTCAACGGACGATCTGCACCCTGGCATGGCAGAACTGCACTGTTTGTGGTTGAACGCTTCGGAACGCCTAGGCAATGGTGGGCTTCTCCCTGGGCTTGTTCACGGAATGGGCCACAGATGTCAACGTGGCCAAGCAGATTGTGCCTCAGGCTAATCAGAGCTTTCAGATACGTATCACTTCAAAGCACTGGGGCTGTGGAAAGACGGACACGTCAGCTAGCGGTGTCCAGTGGCTTGCTGGGCACATGGAACAGGCTGAGGTGTGAGAATGTGTGAGATGGGGTATGGGTTCCTATGGCTTAATCATGGGTTGTGCTTGTTAATCGGAGTTGGTGCCAATAATTGGGCTTGACAAGCTGTCCCTCAAACAGCATGGGGCATATGGAAAAACATACAAAGATGACCGTCTCCAAGACAAAGAGCTACAGTTACTGTGGGTTAAGACCTTTAGGGCGTTTGTGCTTACCATTTGCCACAGCCTTTGTGAATTTGCTTACAGTAGCTCGTGCCCCTAGCGACAACATGCCCCTCATGGCCCCAACAGCGACTCAGGATTTGGTTTTGGCCATTTTCTCACCACCATCCTGAGAGAGCTTCATCAATGTGAGGTTCAACAAGAGATGTTTAGAGCCTCACTGTTCTCAGCAGGGGAATTTGAGACCTCAACAAATGTCCTGCCGCAATCGATTTGACTGTTTAAAGTAGACTTTTCACAGCTAGTGAGCTGGCAAGCATGGAGAGAGATTTGAACACTTGAAAACACCCATGCAAACAACGGGCTGCTGTCAGCCTCCTACACCCAGCTATTGAAGGACATTCTGAACCCACAATGTGGGGACATTGTTTTCAGAGAACGGACTGGCTTGCTGCTCCATAGTGTCATTTTCGGACTTGGTGAACCGGTTCTCCCAACGCATAGCCCTGTGCCCTGATTGAGCACTTCAAACAGCCTCAAAGCAATAGACCTGGCCAGGGATATGTGTGGCTGGCTTATTCGTGACTCAGGAAGGGGTTGACCAGTCGTGACAGGCTTGATTTGCGAACAGCACTTCGTAGCTACAAGAGATTTCTGGACTTCCAAACATCGCACCCCTTCACAAGACAATTTTCAGTTGACCCGTAGTGTGGATGCAAAAGAGCTATGCGAGCTTTGCTTCGGCCGCAATGATGCAACATGGTGGCCTCTCCCATTTCCTTCGGCAGCTTGTCATCCTCAGGCTTCGGGTCATTGTGCTGTAGATTGAAGGACCCATGAATGCCGTCACAAGTTCTCTAAAAAGACAATTTCGGTGAGACTTGACTTGAGTGATGTGACTGCAGCTTTTGCGAGCGAGTGCTACCAGTGACCAGCACAATCGATGGCGACATGTGTTTGCAGCTTTTTTGAAGTCATACACTGGTCCACAATTTCCACGGATTTGGACAGACTAGGCTGCACTCACTGCAACTAGCTGAATGCATTGCATCAGGATGGGTTTGACAACACCAACGAACACCACCAGACAAGTCTTGCAGTGCCTTTCCCTGGCCACTTCTCTCGCAATGGCGCACGACCGGGGGTCAGTGGCTCGCCGTGGCCGCGCTGCACTTGGAGCAGACGAGCAGTCACGGCGGCAGCCAGGTGGATCCAATCATTTTGGGAGGGGCTTCCGAACAAATTGTGTTGGAGGAACAGAATGCCAATGGATTTGTCAATAGGCTTCAAAGGCACAGACCAACCGAAAGCCAATGTGTACTTGTTAGAAAGGGTTTGGTCACGTGTCCATTGGCTTGCAGGAGTGAAGACTGGCGAACTTCCGTCGCAAGGGACGCAAGCTCGCCCAAGGGACGCCTCTATTGCTGCCTTGCTTTGTAGCCTCACTGCCATTCTCATGGGCCCGGAGCCCCTGACGAATGATTGACCGAGACGCATGCGTTGGAGTGGAGGACAAAGGTGAAGCAATGCAATGAGCGTCAGAATGTGTCAGGCTTTGCCGATTTTTCACGAGTCATCCCTGCAAAATATGCCAATATGCTCAATGACGATATTAAATTACTACATTACTAAGCAATTATTATACCTCCCCCTCCCCACTCCCTTTGTTGCAAACAATTGAAGGAAATTCAAGCAATTAGCAGCAGCAGCGGCGGCGACGGGGTGGTGGTAGCAGTAGTAATGGTGGTATAGTGGTATTAGTGGTAGTGGTAGCTTTAGCAGCGGGAGCCGCAGCAGGAGGAGTAGCAGCAGCAGCAGTAGCAGCGGCAATTCCCAGTAGCTGGGATTTTAAAGGGGAGCGCCAGCTGAGCAATAGAAAACTGATTAAGCTCAGACTTTTCCCAGTGCTCCAACTTTATTCCCACCGCTAGACAACTCATTAATTCACTTCCCACGGGCTTGTGCACGGTTTGAAGCAATGATTTCGATAAGTTTTTTGCCAGTGTTCTTGAAAAAGGTTTTCAGATCAGAGTTCCAGGAACCAAGAACCAGGCGAAACCTGAGAGGAGATTACACAAGGCTCTTACAGGGAAGCAATAGTCAAAAAAATGATCTAGGTGGCAATTCCGACCCAACTATTCCGGGCTGGGAAAGTTTTCGGGAAGGCTTGTACTACTTTCTTCATTCCTGGAATGTTTAGGACCCAACATTAAGGGATAGGGATAGACAACTCAGAGATATACATGCACCTATATATACTTATGCATGTTGCATGTGTATTTGTCAGTTGGCCAAATACTAATGTTACAGTTGAACCAGCCGATTGAGAAGCACACCCAGTGTCGTTGTTGAACGAGTTTCAGGCGCAAGTTTGATCGTCAGATTTGTTTGTTCATAATCACTGGTGAATGTGCAATGTATGGCATGCGTTAAAAGTATGTATATATATAATTAATAGTTGGGTTGGGCTTATTTTTGGTTCCCCAAAGAAAACAACGAAGTTAAACCAGGGAATCACAGAGAAATTGAATGGAAACAAGGGCAAAGCAACATGAAATCAACATGAACACATGGAGGCCCCCCCAAGATCAACTTGCACTGAGGCATAGCGATATTCAGAGTGCACAGCTCAGACTTCACAAAATGCATTGCACTGTGACTTCAGATTGCTGTTCGACATTTCAGTTCACGTCACAACTTAGGTCACAGGGACCAATTTGCTGTTTCTTGGTGGTGCTGCTGCAGAGTTTCTTTTAATGTTCATGCCCTGCAGAGGCAAAGAGATCAAGAGCAGCTGAAGTCAAATCGAGTTGCTTGCACACTTTATTGAATCTTTCACATTGAGAGATTATAATTGAATATAATTGCATATAATGTAGGTCCTGCAAATTTATGTGTACGTGATTAGACTTGAGGGGCCGAGACAAAACTGAATAGCAGCTGCTGCGATGCCACATTGCACCTGGTTGGCCCGATTGCTTTGGGCAGACTTTGAGCTTTCGTCACAAGAAGCCTTTGAACCTATATACAATGGTTTCCGCGTAGATGGTGCAATCCCCAAAAGATCCAAAAGGTGGTTGATAAGGATCCCATATAAAAGATATTTTTGGGTCTGAGCTATTTATTCTGAGACCACTGTATCCTTCTGATGAGTCTAGTTAAGTTCAAACTCACAGGCCCACCAGCACTGGGCATTCTTTTGGCTGCGCTTGGGGACAGGCTTGCGGATTGCACATGGTGCGGAATCAACATGATGTTGCATTATGTTGTGTCAAATGTGGTTCGTGAGCATTGCAAATTCTGCTGTCACCAAAGAAGAGACAACGAGCAAATATAGATGGCGAGGTTCGTGCGCCAGTAGTCCCTTCCTGTCAAAACCCAACACAAGCGACCACACGCTATATATGTTAAGTATCATATGCTGCCTACACGAGGATGTCACGAGCTCGTAGATGTCGCAGGTTTTTCCCTCAGTGATGCCTCCAGGCTGCCAAGAGGCATGCAACTTCAACTGATGGGCTATTGTTTCGTGGCCCTCACGGGCTTTACGGCTTTCTCCTGGGCGTTTAGTTGGCTTGCCGCAGAGATGCTTGGTGTTGCTCGAGAGGCGCTCTCAGGATAGTTCGAAGTTTTTTAGTTAAAGTGAATCCTTTAATGCCATGTGGTCAGAGAAAGACCCACGGTTGGCCTTGACATGTGTGTCGTCTAAGCGCTTGCCCTCTCAATCCCAAAGACGCTGCACCCTGGTAGTGACTCTGGTAGTGCATGCGACGGATGGGTTGCTTTTGGTGCCTTTATGTGCTTCGTAACTGCCAAGCTTTCACAAGAGTCAGGACATTGAAAATAGCTACCTGTGGTTATTATGCTCCATTCAGAAGCCTTATGCTTGTCATTGTTGGTGCAGCAGGTGGTTGCTGTCTTCCTCAGTGCCAGTTGCTTGATGCTGACAGTTCACTGGGCTAGCAATTTCGCACAGAAGGCCGGACATGCAAGTCATCACATGCTGTTGGTTGAATATAGCCGATACAGAATTGTTCATCTCACAATGGCTCGGCTTTGCTATAGAACATGAGATGCTAGTGGACCAGCTTGTTATTGTGCTCGTGACATTGCAAGGGACATTTATCGAACAAGGTGACATTGTTGTGGTGCTCTGGCGCCCAGAGAACAGACGCCAAAGATGCGGGGAGCACGGCCTTTGGGCTGCAGCTACGAAGCTTGCGGGACTGAATTTGTTTTATTTTATCAGTTACTTAGACAGTTGTTAATCACATTGTTGATGTAATCTAGATACTTGCCCCGGCCTGTGGCAGACTTCAGATATCTTCAGATGATGGCACGTGCGAGTGGTAAGTGTTTGACTTCAGCTGAGGCTTCACATGCAAAGCTTCAAGACGAGCTTGTGCAGTTACAAGAGCTTTGGTTGACAATTCATCAAAGCAACCAACCCATGAGGGTGAAGGTGAAGTGTGTAAGAACACCACTTATATACAACATGTTTCAACAACATGCGAAGTGTTTTTGGTAACGTGCTTGAATTTGGGTTTGTGGCGCTCACAAAGTTGTTCCAAGCCATCCGCCTGCTGCTTTGGGATCACTGGACCACAAATCTCAGGCAGAACTGGAGCAGGTGAGTGCAGTTGCCACTCGTGCGATGCAAGGATCGAAGCTTGACTAATCTGGTTTGGCTAGAATCGCATCATGACATGATGTCAACCGATTGTCAGTGGAATAGTAGTGAGATGTTTGCCGACTTTGTGTTGATTTGTTCAAACATGTATGTTCAAACATTTATGTTCAAACATTGTATGCGACAGTACTCGCAATATTGTTTCCTTTATTGATTGTGCCCATTGTGCCTCCTTAGCGTCCAGTTTGTTTAATTTTGTCCATCAAGAGCCGTCAAATCTCTTTGCGACAGCGACGCTGGCTTCAAACTTATGACAGAACTACTATTCAAGGATACATTGTGGTGGTCTCTAAAATTCCATGTGTATATAGGGATCACTGTTAGGTTGGAGGCCATCGCTATTAGAGACTGTCATGCCGTCCCCCGGGACGGTCATTGGGTCGTTTCCAGACGGTCATTGTTGTGAATTGGTGGTCGATGTAGCAGTCTTGAACATGAGATTAGCCAGTACTACTTGTGACTAGTTTGTCTACTATTTTGGTCTTTATGCAGAAGTATCATGTGGGCCCTGATGTATAGGGTCTCCGCCGCAATGTGAAGCATACCACGGCAATTTGCAGCATATCCAGAGCTACTGCTCAAGGGACCACAAAATGGGAGTTGTGGTTGGGCCCGAGCTGTGGTTTGATCGCACGCATTCGCCTGCATGCTGCACGTTTAGGTCATTATATTGAAACATCCACCGCGAAGATTTTCCCTCACTAACAACCCTTCAAACATGACTAGCATCAACAAGAGCGGAAGTAGTGCCTGAGGATTTTGTGCAAGATTTGCTATGAACAGGAAGCTACTTGGTGATAAGAGTGATTCCATCTCTGACTATTTTTGTTGGGAAGAGTGTGTGCGTGTGTGTGTGTGTGTCATTTGCTTTCCATACGTCATTCCAGAGTCATGTTAATTTTGCAGTTGCTTGGTTGCTTTAGCAGGACTGCTTCACATCAATTTATATGCATCTTGTATGGCTCCACTGTTTGCCGCAGCCTTCAGGACATAAACTGAATCATGGAGATAGCCTGCCGGGATCAACAGTCCAAACAGAATGAGGTTTGCAGATTCTCAGAGAGTTGCTGTTCGGCTGACATTCTCAGTTCTTACTCCAATCAACAGATAGCTAGACAAAAAGATCAAACAAGACCCCGAAGGAACCATGAAATGAAGTTGCAGCTTGTGCCTTTGATGAACCGAGCAAGTTAAACGAAAACCTCTCTTGTTTTGGAGATATTGCATTTACACCTGGATTGGCCATGGAAGCTGGCCATCGTACCCGATGGGATGGTACGTACTTCTCTGGCTGCTTCTTGGGCATGCCAAAGCTCAGCTGACACAGCTCCTCTCAGACTGCTTGTTTTTGCGTGGCGAGGGCAGGTGCGAGGATCTGGTGCAGCGGGGCTACGCTTTGCCAGGCGGGAACTGAAAGGATCCGAAAGGGTTGCCATGTCAAAGAGGCGCTCACCAATTTGCATGAGCCAGGTAGAATTGTTCTGGCTCAATACCCACAGGTAGATACTGATTTGTTTTCTTTTCGGTAGCCTTATCGGCTCCCAGCTGTTTACCCAAAACCTGTGTGGAAGGGAACCGTGCTTCCTCATGAACAGAATAGAGTTCGAAAGAGCAACCCCAGACGATATGTCAAGGAGCTAGGAACACATGCCCAATCAAAGTTGCTTGCCAGCCCTGCGGGCGGCATGGCATGGTTTGTTCCATTGCAATTTTGCTTGTGAACAGACTGCAACCCTGCCAGGTGAACTAGATGTTGCCTTCAAGCTTTGCCCCGGCTCAGAGATCCTGCAAGCACATAATAGTTTTCCTGTTGCAGTGAAACTGTCATTGTCACATGATGGCATGTACTTTGCTCACGTGGGCCATCTCCGGCCGGGCTGGTCAAGCTGGCAGTTTCGTGCCAATTACGTTCGAGTTGAGTGGACAAAAATCAAGGAGCTCCAAACCCAAGCACCACGAGGAACCCTGGCTTTCTTTGGGCAACCATGCGGTGACGGCAATTTAACTCTTCCGAAAGGTCAGTGGCATTTGCCTCGAGTGGTGGCGCGGCCCAAAGGCTGCTTCTCCACAGCGCTTTCGGAACGGTGCTGTCATCCTTTAAGACCGCAATGCTGGGGTCACAATGCTCTCTTGGCCTTTGCATGCTGCGCGGTCCCTTACAAGCAAGCTGGTTTGTCAACCTGCTTGGTCTCGAACGCCAAATTCCCAAACGCCAATCAGGACTGCAGAGGACATCCCCTCAACTTTTTTCGCTCCTTCCAAGATGGAAATGAGCTGAGACTGGTGGTGGGAGGCCGTTTGTCTCAACAGCCATTTCAGGCGATCAATGCATCTTTGTCAACTGGCTGCCTTTTCCAAAGCATACTCTATCTGTTCCACGAGCTCCATCACTTGAGCCGTGATGCACAGTTTCTGGAAGCAATCTCCCCTCTACAGCTTTACTCTTACGCTCGACTCTTTCAGGCAGGGCCTCCACAACATGGAGTTATTATATAGTGCTGTTGTATTAAGTTATTTCTGGATGTTTATGTATGGAACAGTAGTTGTCAAAGTTTGCCCTTATGGGAACTGCCTATCAGGAAATGATGTTTGCCTGCGACCTGGAGGAGGTTCAGTTTTTTGAGCTGGCAGGGCTTTTGCCCACACAGATGCTTTATTTGGTGTGGCTCACAACGGGGAGGTGGGAAGTCAGAAATCAAACTGGTTGGACCTATACGATATATCTCTTCCACCTATAAAAGGCACGCCCCCCAATAGAAAAACTATGAAAAACTCCGTCGTCGTTTTTGCTATTAGCGCGAACCCGCAACGATGGAATCCTGGGAAGAGCTTCAAAACCGAAACGTCGCCTAGGAATGTATTGTTCAACATGTTTTTTTTAAACAATATACATATTTTATATATATAACATCTTTTTTCAAGCCCTTTTCCCTTTACAAAACCCTCTATATTCCTGATACGTTTTGGTTGGAATCTTATCATCAGACTAACAACTAAAGATGTTGAACGGTGCTGTCGCATGCGGTTTGTGTGGCTTCGTGCCATTGTGGAAGGGTGCACATGCGTGTGTGAATACGGCGGCATGTCGCTAGTGAGGGGCACCATTGGTGGTGATTCTTTAGTGGGCGGGTACTTAATTGAAGCAAGCTCCCACCAAGACAACCTTGTGTGTTGGTTAGGAGTAGTTTAAGATGGCGGTATTTTTTAAACAAACACAGCCTGTATTTAGGGGTCTCCGACATCAATGGAATGCATTGTTCTAATCCAAACACGCTCATTCCGAGTAGCTGTTTCAATTCTATGTTTTTTTAGATGTAAACAAGAGGAAAGGATGTGAAGTAGTTGCCTTACTCAAGTGCACCTTTGAGAAGCAGAGCGCATGTCATCTGAAACCTTCCCACATGTTTATTTCTCATACAGCTATATACTATTCTTTTACACAACCTAGGCCCTGTTCCACGGGCAGCACAAAATGTTTTTCTGCAAAGGCCACAACTTCCATCCAGCCTTTGGCTCCCCAGGCGCACTGGACTTCTTAGTCACACAGCACCACTACCCAACTGAAACCAGTATCTACAAACGGGCACGCTTCAAAGGGTGCTCTTGAACTGCAGCGTTTGCTTCTGCGATCGAACTCTTTTGGATCTCTGTCAAGGAGGAATACCAGTCCCACGCAAAGGCTTGAACTCCAAGCAACGCAGCCTCACGGGATCTCAAAGTTGGGCGCTTGTTCCCATCTTTGCTCTGAGGATCTGCAAAGCTCAAACATTTGGACTTCTTGCCCAAATGCAAGAATCCAGTCGGCAAATAGACTTGGACAAAGGGGGAGGCTCCCTGCGGACTGCCGAAGTAGCTCTTGACTCCTGGCGGAAAGCTCCCCTGCGGTCGCCCGCGGGGAACATGCGGCGCATGCGTTCCATCTGCGTCAGGACCTCACAGTGTTGAACCGTGTTTAACAGTTGCACACAAAAGGGAGAAAGAGGTGGAACAATGGAAGGATCTATATATATATATATAATGATATATATATATAACTATCAATGATAATCTTCACTCGGCAGTCTTCAAAGTCATCCCAGTAACGGAAGCAGCATCGGCAGCTGGGTCCTTTCTAGTCTCTCCCTCAAGCTCGGCAACACTCTCAGTGGATTTCTTTTCACTGACCGCTGGTTCAACCTGCTGACCATCACCTTCAGCATCGTCAGGTGTTTTCGAACCCAACAAGAAGTCAACAATCTCGTTCATTTCCTCGTCTTCAGACTGCCCCTCTAAGCGGTCTTCTTCCTCACGAAACAACAGAATACTTCAAAAAATATGATTCCCCTCTCCAACTGGCATAATAAATCAGCGTTCGGTGAAACAGTTTGACGCTTCAAACACAGAGCCCGAATGAGGTCAATGATCAAGTCCCAAACATCGGACCGGGTCATAGTCACTTGACTTAAGGTCACTAGTGAGAGACAGAGGTCTTCCAAAAGCATGCCAAAAACAGTCTGACTCAGACGGTCTTGTGAACAACCAGTTAGACAAAAGGTACTATGTGGGCGCCGTGGGCGTGGGAAAAACATCGGCTGTGGGTAGGGATCCGAGAGGTGCCTGCAGACTCGCTTTTGTCTAGCCTTCATGAACCTAAATTGTTCCCTTTTGCGTGTACTTTCATTTTACTCAGGGCAAGATGAAACACGGAGATAACAAGTCCAGTGAAGTTCAGGAGTAGAGAAGAAATGAATAGTGTAAAAATGGGGAATCTATGAAGGCGTTCCCAGCCGAGGCTAGACATGTAAGTCTTGAATGGCCTTGAAACCCCACTGCCCACCGCGAAGCAAAATGTCTAAACATAGTATTCGGGAAGCGGCACAAGCCTGAAGCAGCAGGTTGAAACAACGTGGTCAGGGGCGGGTTAAGCATGGCCGCCTCACAAAGAAGGAACATTAAAAGAACAAACATATAAACTATCATTACTTATGGTTCTGCTCACAACGTGAATGCCAACAACACTTGGGTGTGTGTATGTTTACCGTAGTGGGGCCGGGAAGCTTGAGTAGGTGGTATATGGTTCGAGAGTATGATTGTCAGCTTTGAATTGTGTTGTTGGATTGACTGGACTTCCAGCGATGGGCCCACATCCTGCGCCGTGAGGCAGTAGGCAAGCAGTATCTGTTGGTTGCTGGGCAGACCAAGCAATTGCACTCTTCTACCAAAGACACCAAACCTCACCAAATGCCAAAGGCACCACCCTTTTGACTACAGTGCACACCAGTGGCCCTCTGCATGCCCCACCAAAGCAATCAGGGATGTGGATGGGTGGGAGTGTGTGGAGGCCAGAGATTTGGTATGAATCTGGTTTGATTCGGTATGGCCATGAAATTCTGCTGGATTTGTTTGCAATCAATCAAAACATTTGAATCACACTCAGCCCGTCTACTTTCCCGCTTTCAACCAATGCCCCTGAAGTAACAACAGTATCCTTGAGATGCTTGCTTGGTAGCATCGAACATCATCGAACCCTGTTTCATTTCATGACACACCTGCCAGACACCTTTGTAGCCTTGGTCTTCGGGAGATTCTGTGGCTGCTTCGGTAGAACACCTCGCAAGGCAACATCAATGGCCTTCAGCGTTTTCAGGCCAGGCCATGTACCTTGGAAAGAAAGCCGCTTTGAGCATATACATCCGTATATGCCTAAATCGATGCACACCGATAGGCAATCTGCTTGCTGAAGAAACTGGCGAATAATGGATTCCCACTTAAACAGTAGGCTGGAGGTTGGGTTTTCCAACACCCAGAACAGTCCCAGCCAAATAATCAATGGGATGATGAGCGTGCCCAAAAGTTCAGCAACTGCGTTTCCAGCCACAACCGCTGGGCATCCGCTATAGCCAGTCAGAGCCTGAGCGCTCACGGGCACATCTTTGTCAAGTCCCCATTTGTAAACATCATCGACAGATAGCGAGAACGACAGCAGAAACTCGTGGCCAAGGGTGCCCGCAACTAGCATCAATCGAAATACTATTGAGTTGGTGTCCACAATGTAATATTATTGAGTGATTGTATGGCCAAGTCGCCAAGCCACGAAGCGATGAGCCCCTGCTGATCCACACCCATGATCCGCAAGTAGGCATCAAAAACACTGGGGAACCTGGTCGAAAGAACGCGTTGGCCACTCCAGTGTGCAGACTTTTCAGTTAATTCAACTCTCGCAAACTTGATGTTCAAGATCAGACTAGGTGTAACTACCCATCATACATCAGCAGAAACAAAATGTGTTGATGTCAACCTCAATGAGTATGAAGGACCAGGTTGTTGTCCCACATGTAACCTCTCCGCACAACCGCGTCAGTGCGAGCCTGGTTTGGTCTCGGCCAACCCCTTGACTATTTCCATGAGTCTAGCACGCGTGTGGACATTGTGACCCTCGGACAGTCCTGGCATGGGATCTGAAGTAACTTGCAACTTCACTTGGATGGGCAACCTACCACTTGGGAGAAAACATCTCAAACCTAAAAGAAATAAGGCCGTAGCTCGATTTAAGCCATGGGGCTGACGTCGAAAGCTTTGCTCTCACCAAAGCCTGCCACCTTAAAGCCATTGCCAAAGCTGTTGCTGGCACCGAACAGTTCAATCATTTGCAGCCATGGCTTGGATGCACTCCGCACATCAGTGGCCACCTGCTTTGCCTCTTCCAGAGACATAGCAGGTGGCCGGACTTTAGACGATAGCCTCTCCATCTTGGGCCGACGTTTGCAATTGAGACTTCATCTAAAACAAGACCCTGAGAACGATCGTCACGTGACATGCGTTTGGTTGAAGAGAATGCGCGATCACAGTTTAGAATTGTCATGTGCTGCCTTGTCTTCTATGATTACGTATTCCGTCATTGACATGTAGATAGATATATAAATATATATACATATGATAGTTACTCAACGCAGCCAAAGAGAGTGGGTGCTATAATGACGAGAAAACCCTGCGTGCAATGGGTGTTCCATTGTTGAATCACATGTTGTTTGGGTGAGTGAGAAGGTTCTTATCGATTCGCAAGATCAGTCCGTGCTGTGCATAAAACTCCACAACTTTGCAAGACGTTCCTTTCATTATTTCAAAGGCGCTATGACTGGCTTCTGGATACAGTACCACGACCTCCTCGGTTGTTGATCATTGACATTGGCACTGCTGGAGGTTTGGAAGCTCGGCCTGATGATTCAATCATCACAACATCACAGTTCCCTCACGATCACATTCTGAGGACACTGCATTGTACTTAGCCTTGGGCGCAGATGTGGTGTCCGTGGAGGCAAGGTCTGAACATAAAAGTTGGGGATTTTGAGAGGTGTCATTTCTTTCTCAAATTCAGAGAGTTTCTTGAATTGTTGGCCAGCAAGGCCTGCTGTTCTGTGCTTCCGTTGCTTGCCAGGCCAATCCGCTTGCAAGCAACTGCACGAGTAGCCGCTTGACGCGGCATTTGCGGAGTAGAAAGCTGAGATTGCTCAATGCCAAGATCAGCACAGGTGCGGTTGATGAAAACTATCGTGCAACGCTGCACAAACAATGCGTAAGCTCTAGGTTCGTCTAAGTCTAAGTCACTTTGGCACAACTTCCGGCAGCCCCTTCAATCTACTTGAAAAACCTTTGAAAAGGTATAATATGTTTATGATTTGCAGCTCTTTGGAATGAACGTGCTGGGTCCTGTACCTTTCAACATTCATACCCATCGCTCCTCGCCCTCTCCATAGATATCACATTGTATACTGTAATATATTAGCCTCACTTTCCTTGACTTTATGTAACTTCATTCGGTCATCAATGGGATGTTGCCTGGCAGGTGTGGGACGTGAGGTTTTCCTGGGGTCATCGCATGCTTTGGACTTCGAGCGAGCTGGAGAGACAGAGCTGCCGAGATATGATGCAAACAGGCCGCTTCTCCAAACGTCTTTGGAACGTTTTGATGTTTTATGCCACTCTGAAACGTCAAGTTCACTTTAACCGAAGAGCGATGGCCTCCAAACTAAGAGCGATGGCCTCCAACGGAACGTTTTGATGTTTATTGCCACTCTGAAACATCGAGTTCAGTTTAACCCCTAGTAGCTTCTTGTTCCTTGTAATTAGTAAGAATGCTACTAGCAGTATGGCCAGGAGCCCCTAATAGCGTCCTTGCTCCTAGTAGTAAGGCCAGGAACCCCTAGTGGCTTCTTGCTACTGGTAGCAAGAATGCCACTTTGAAACATCGAGTTCTTTCCCAACTAGTCAGCCTCCCCCCACATTGCTTTCCTGACTTGCCCTGGTTGCACTTGGGGGAGCTGGCGGGTATGCTGTCAGGTTTTGACTCTCTCCCATTGACTTGTTGTTGTGCCAATGCCCCTTTTTAATGGCAGCCTTAGCAACTTGGAATTTCCAAGCCATGCTCAGGTATGAGAACCGTGTTCACTTGCACACTACCAGCTGTGGAGATCTAGTCGCCACGTATGGCACCCCATTCTACATGAAGGTGGATGTGGAGGATAGGATCCATTTTTGACGCTCAGTCCTGTCCGGTGCAGTTCTTCCGCGAAATGCAAGACAATACAACAATGTGCAACACGATGTATATGCAGTACATATAAGTACTTATTGCAGATATATAACTACATATAGTTGGTCCATTAGTCCATTTCACTGTCCAACTGCAGGCCCACCAGCAAGGGCATACGGCTGATTGATCGAAAACGCACATTCGGCGCATGTTTGGACGGTTCGTTTTGAGTCGGAAGCCACTTCCGCTCCAGGATGCCACAAAGACTTGCCTCGACTCCTTAGTGCGATTGCCTTTGGAAGCACGGCCCGCGTTAATTTCTGCCGAGAGCCTTGGCAAAGAACTTGGAAACTGCAAGTGGTGGATCGAACATTCTATAATACCACGCCAGAGCGCCATAAATTGATTCAGGAGTTGAACTTGAGAGGGGCACAGCACAGCTGATTGAGCCAAGAGAGACCCTTGCAGCCTTGCAGCTGTAGCGCGGGTGGTACTGTAAGGATGGAGGACCAGACAATCCTGCAACGCTTGCTGGCTCTGGGGTACCGAAGCTTCAAAATTGTGCGTCAGTCACCACACAGTGGGGTGAACCTTGGCGACGATTCATCAACAGAAGGACTGTGCACTGTGTACTGCCCAGCATGAAGTGTTCCAAACGTGCTCGGCATAGGAAGTGTTCTCGTGAAGTGTTTCCATCTTCCTTTTGAGTGCGATTGAGTCGTGCTGAGGAGAAGCCTGGCAAGTCCAGGATGTGCTCTCCATGGTGCGCCCCAGCTGATTGAGAGTGCCAGTGGCCTTTTTGGCGATGCTGCTGCCGATGTTCTAACAGGCTGGATAGCAGAGCAGGTCCTTGCACTGCGAACACATTCATGATAGGAGGGGCCGCATTTGCACGTGTCCAGACTTGGCTCAAGTAAGCAACCCTGCATGAAGACATACTGTATACAGTATACTAGTATACATAATATGATTTACTGTACATTGATTTACACAAATGCATATGTGTTTTCTTCGAATGGATTCAGGTGAGTCAGTCATTTTGCACGCCTGACTTCGGGTATTGAATAAAATTGAATTGCATAAACGTACTGCAATTGTGATGGCCATGACATGCCGCATTGGAGCACAAGAGATGACTGTTGGTCCTGGAAACGAAGTGCAACTGATGAGCCCGGCGAATGGCCTGTCACAGAAAGGTTTGCAAGAGCGCCTCCACGAAGAAGGGTTTTTATATTTGAAAGAGGTGCTGCCAAAGAACTTGGTTCTTGCTGCCCGGAATGCCGTACTGGCCAGTTTGGAATCATTGGGAGTAGTGCTTCAGGGGGAGAACGGGAAGCTCAACCCCAATTCCAGCTGGGAGACTGATCAGGGTGCAGTCCCTCCATCACTGGCTCGATGTCCTGAGATGCTTGCATTGGTTGAGAGCGACGCTTTGAGAGGGCTAATGGAAGAAATCTTGAATGACAAGGCGCAGACCTTGGATCACAAGTGGCTCCGGGCTGTGGGAAAGGGAGAGAATAGTGGATTTCATACGGACTCGGTGTACTTGAACCAGGGAAGCAGAGAAGCATTGACGTGCTGGATACCTTTGGGGGATGTGGACCTCCGTTTGGGTGGCCTTTGTGTGGTCAAAAATTCCCATCGCGATGTGCGTTACGAGAGGGTGAGAGAGACCTATTCCAACATTGACGTTGACACTGCTGGGATTCACGGGACTGGATGGTTCACAGAGGATGCTCGTGAAATTTTGTCCTATGGTTGTCCCTTGTTGACGGCATCGTTCAAGATGACAGACATTGTCATCTTCCGATTAGATACCATGCACGGATCTTTGTCCAACGGCAGTGATCCGGCGGAGGTGCGAATCTCTTGCGATACACGGTGGTATGCAGCGAAGGATGTCGTTGATGCTAGGTACATGGGTGAGGATCCAGTGGGAACAGCCACATGGTGGGCGAGCCGCCACAATGAAAAAATATTTCCAACTTCCATGGAGGAAGCAAAGCGAGCATGGGGACTTGTGAAATTTTGAGCCTCTTGACTTGACGCGTCTTGCTTTTGAATGAGAGCACTTCCGCGACTTCTCATCCGTTCATGGCCGCAAGCAAAAAGAGAGGAGTTAAACTGTACTCGTAATACTCGTACACCAAGTGATACCAAGTGCAGATGTTTGTTTCAATTGTTTCCGGTAGTCCTTGCCTTGGAGAGGTGCTACCTGGACTTCCTTCGAAGAGGCGCTTGATGTCTATCTATCTGTTGTTGATCAACCTGTGAGACAAGCTGTGGCCTCGTGGTTTCCATCTGCAGCCTCTGAATGGTTTGATGTTCATGCTCGCCGCGAGAAACCGCAAAAGTCTGCACCGCAAGGGATGAAGGGGCAGAAGCCATGACTCATGATTCCTTCGGTTTTCCCACAATTTGCCGCACGTTCTTTCAGACTGAGTTTCTAAAAGGGTGGAACTCTTATTTGATCTTATTTGATTTCCTTTGGCACATATTTGCCCGCTCGCTGCAGTTGCAGTTGCACATTCAGCCTCGGGGGCTTAGGTTGGCTGCGCCTTAAAGCCTTGTCGTCATCATGCCTTCTGTGTTGCTTGTGCACAGCGCTTGGTGGACTCCGGGCAGCGATGCCCGCCTCATGGCGAAACTTCAGTGTGCGACAGTTTGTTTCAACAGGTAGCAAATTGAGAGAATTGCGATACACGAAAGCGAGCTCAGAAGGAGCTCAGCGGAAGTTGTTGTGAACGAAATTACGAAAGGCCAAAGATTGAAAGGTTCAGTGAACCAATTGATTCTTTCAATCAAAGGGAGGGGTCAGCGGAGGGGGGGTTGCTCTTGTCAAGAAATTAATGTTTTTCACAAGATGTTATAGGCTTTTTGTGCACATGTTCATCATCGTCGTCGCAGTCGTGTTCGTTCCCCGCCTCTCAAATTGATACATATTGATAGGAAACAACTTGTCAATCAATTGAGGATTTGCCGGCAACCTGTGAATGGCCTATCTAGAACATATACGTCGTGAAAATATACAAATATATAATTACGTTATATAATATATATTCATTTTAAAAAATGTTTTATAGAATATGAATTAATTATATATAATATAATATAATTAAATTAAATATATATTAAATTATTGATTATTAAAAAATCATTTTGATATGGAAAAGATTTGGTATTGAATAATTTATTTTTTAAAATTATATATTATATTATATTATATAATAGATATATAATATATTATTAATTTTGGAATTTTGAATCTTTATATATTTATATGTTTATTTTATATCTAAATGAATAATTCGATTATTTGGGAATTTATATTGATTATTTTATTTGATTCGGAATATAGATTATATTTATTTATATCTATTATTTATTTGGATTATTTATTGATTTATATAATATGTTAGTAAATATTGGAATTGTAATTTAATTGAATTATAATGATGGTTGTTATTTATATATATTTTTGATTTTATATATAAATAAATTAAATTCTTGATAATAATTTTATATTATTTAATATATATTGGATAATATATATTATTGGATTCGACCTTGATTTTTCGAGAAGTCCGAATTCTAATTTTTTATATATTTGGGTAATATGTTGTCGAATATCTTCGTACGCACGAACCCCCCATCGGTCTAGGAGATAATTTGGATATTACTATTTTATTAGATCGTCTAGATTTAGCAATTCTTCGGCTTCGTCGTTGTAGGATGATATAATCCAAATATTATATTGATTAGATTTTATTTCCGATAGGGAGACTAATTGAATCAAGTAGCATTCGGTCGTTCACGTGGGATATTTTTTGAATGCGGATAAGGCAATTTGATGCCATTGATATTATAGATCTCCAAGGATTGGCATGCTAAATTTTAGGCCGATGGAGTGAACCAGCCGCTGAGGTCTTTTCTTTTTAGGATTATTGGGGGAATTAATCCGTCGCATACAATTCTTGCAACTAGAGATTGCCGAAGACGCCTTTGTTCAGGGATTCTGTTGGAAATAGATCCTTATTAATACGAATCCTGGAATTTCATGAATTGGGATCAAAAAGCTTAGTGCCACCTTCCCAACAAGCCAGACTCATTGAATTCGACGGCGCTGCACGAAATGTTGCAGGCCATGGTGCACCTATCCCAGAGCCTGGATATCATTCATTATTTTGTAGCCATGAATCCCCTGCCCAAGGACAAAGAGACGGACGACGATATCATTTCGATTCCTTGGAGATTCGATTTGTCGGTTAGGAGAGCCACGATATGTACAAGATGGTTTCTCAACTCTGTGGGAACGATATTATGCAATTGATCTTGATGAAATACCGGACCACGAATTTGCAGCGCAGTCCATTGGCCGCGGCAGTGGTCCAGCGGCTCCGGAAATGATTTGCCGCCTGGCCCATTTGCGCCTCCGCGATCCGGATAACCAGTGCTACATCGTGATTGCGTTACGCTCTCAGCTTTGGGCCTCGTTGATTCAGGATGATACAATATCATGTATTGGGGACATTGGCAGGAAATTTTGACCAATCTCCTGATGCATGAAGGGGACAAACCTCTGTAGATTCTCTCACAGGCGCCACTTGGGGACCTCCTGTCTCCCTGATTCATGGTCCAAAAATTATGTCCAAATATATTATTTCAAACCTTTATTAAAAGGTCAATCTTCGTATTTTCCAAATATTAGCCAAAAATCAATATATATATAAATGCATATTCCATTATATATTATCAACTAAAAATTATGTAGTTTTATGAATTCAATATATATATATATATTTTTGGAATTATAAAAATAACATATATATATATATAGATATTTTATAATATATATCTTTCATTTTATTCATTTCATTATTCGGCAATCTATCGTCTGCCCGTCAGGGGCTGCGCACATGCATCGAAGATCCGAGGCGGATGGTTCCTGAACATCTGAAAGCCCAAATCCGCAAGCTGCGAAGGCTCCAAAACGAGATCTTTCAGCCGTCAAAAGCGGTTCCTAGCAAATCATGCAAGGCGGACTCCCTGCTGATGGTGCGACAAATCGGCAATCTCCATCTTCGATTGGTGACCATTTCCTGGGGCACAAGCCAAAGCAAGTAGCAAGCATCCAACGTGCCATGGTCAACGACCGGAATGGTCCATGGATCGAATT